TATTTAATCATCATTCCCTATCTCAGTGCTGGTCACACTGTTCATACTGCTATATTGTCATATTGTATATACTGTTTACCAAACCCACCCACCTCAAGTACATAACACCTGCACATAATACTTATTCAATCCAGCATCCTTTGCACTATGGTCCATCACACTGTGTACATGTATTCATGTATGTGTACCTGTATATCACATCACGTCCAACATGTACATAATAATGGTAATAATAATTTACTCCTGCATCCTTTGCACTCTGCTCATTGGACTATTGTCTCAGTCTTTATTGTTGTTGTTTGTAGTGTGCATATATGTGTTCTCTACACTGTGGCCTGCGTTTGATTTTATTATTGTATTATTGTATAAGTAAGTGCATGGTGAGCAATGTACAATCCAGAGTCAAATTCCTCATTTGTGCACACATACCTGTCAAATAAAGCTGATTCTGATATTATGTAACTTCTGTGTTTGAGTTAAAATGTCTTAGCAGCATGTAGGTGTTGTCATATTAGGCTCTGTCACTTTAAGAGGATAACCTCTGACCCTGAGCTGTGATGGATCATGGTTGTTTGAGAGAGGCGTCTGATTCGTTCATGTAGATGCCTGTCACCTTTCTAAGCTTGTGATTGGTTAAGGGGCGGGCCTAACAGGCAGAGCAGAGTTAGGAGTCAGCCTGCTGCTTCCAGCGTGTGTTTTTCTCTGGAGGTAACTTAGCCACAAGCTGCAGCAGACAGAAAGGTGTAATTTAATAATTATACAGACAGTCAGTAGCCTGGCTGGTTTATAATAAGTTTGTCACTCTACACAGTTTTGTGTACTGTACTGTGTCTGAGAGCCGTGCTAGTCTGCAGATAGCAACAGGTTAGCAACATCGCTAACAGCCAGCTAACGTTAAACGGACACTGTCTCACTGACAGCGCCGTGCGTGAGCTGATAAGCACCTCTGGCTTTGAGGGAGATCATCCTGTAACTGTCTTCATCTTCATCTTTCTGAGAGGATTGCAAAACATGACACCAGCGGGAGTTATCTGGACGATGCTGTGAAACTGAGCTTACTTTAAAGGGTTAAACATCGCTGCCCAACAAACAGGCGGAGGAAACAGCTACGAGCTCAGTGAAGGTCGGATCGTAGCGTTTATTAAACTCTGCGGGCTCTCCTCCAGAAGTTTGCCCAGAGGAAAAGCCGCCGCTGCGCCTTTCTGCTGAAGTGAGCCTGCTTTGGTGAGTGAAGCATCGTTTATCATCCTGACTGTGTGCTGCAGCTCCGTGTATGGGACAAACTGTTGTGCTGGATCGGTTGATACCAGACTATGGATTGCGGTTGTTGTCATGTAGCCGCTTTCATGCTGCTTTATTATCCGCAATTATTATGGCAATATGCTGGCTGGCTGCGCTGGATGAAAGGTATGGAGCCGGGAGTGTAAATGAACACTCTCTCTTTCTCTCAATTCAACTTTATTGGTATGAATGTAATAACAACATTGCCAAAGCATCATATATACACAACATAAGAACAATCAGCCCCATACATTTCATTAAACAATTAAAGCGTAAAGTAATCAAAGTGTATGTGTGTTTGTGTTTTTTTTAAAAAGTAAAAAAAAGAATAATTAAAAATTTAAATTAAATAAATAAATAAAACAGTAAGCGTGTCTGTGTGTTTAAAAATATATATATTAAAAATAAAATAAATAAATAAAACCTCTCTCTCTCTCTGTGTGTTTGTTGACATGTTAGAAACATAGCAGCAAGAGAGAGTATTGTATTGTAGTTTTACTGGCATCTATATTTTCAAACCATTTCAATGAAATAGTATGGTCCCCACTCTCTAATAATACTAGTATTTACATATTGTATGTTTCAGTTAAATTATTATATAGTCTAATATGAAAGAAAGACATTTATGCTCCGTGATGTCTGTAATCCTGAGTGGGCTTGTTCCCAGTATATGTTTTGTTCTTTGCAGTCAGTGCACTCCTACAAATAAAAGCTGTAGTTGTTTTTTAAGGAAAAGGTCAACTAGCGTATTTGAAGAACTATTGCCAAACACATACAGATACACATTAAAACAGGATTTTTATGGCCGCTTGCTATAATGGAAACACATTTTTTACATCTCCTCCTACACCGTAGCTCCAATTGCCACCAAATTTTCTCTGGATCACCATTGGACTTTACATATATAAAGTTGTATAATACTTGTTGATGGCTCCTTTTGTTTTCACGATATTGACCAATAAACGTTTAAAGTGGCGTGGTGCAGGACATAAATAGACAAAGATCCACAACCGTTGGTCCAATCATCACAAAACGCAAAACAGGCTACAAAGTGCATATTGTTTGTCCAATCAACACAAAACTTGCAGGATATCTCTACATCAGCACCTCAGACATACCCTGAAAGTCAAATTCACACAATATTCAAATCCACCGCTAAGGGGCACTATAAATGCATCGTAACTGGACGTGGAATGATACAAATCAAGCTATGGATCAGAAAATGGTTCTCCAGTTGTTACAAAACTTGCATGGTTATGTTTTCTAACAATTTTGAACCGTATGTGTGAAATTATTTTAATGCGATACTGTGAAAAACGGTATGAACCCGCGAATCGCCGCTTGCGGCTATATTTCTCTCTGGGTTTGTCCGTGATTAGCGCAGTAGTGAAAGTAGCCATATGGTGGCGACTGTGTGTCATCTTGTTTTTCCACCCCCTAGTCGCCAACACTTGAATAATGCAGCTTTGAACATTTAAAGCTGTTTGTTTAAGAAACATTTTTGTTATGTTTGTTGAAATTCTCTTTAGATCCCAACAGCAGTAAATAAATCAAACGGTCTGACAATGAAATGATTGGCTGGTGTGTCTTCCTGTCTACTTACCTGCTGCACTCTGCCATGCACTCACTGCACATGACCATGTGTTTTGGGGGAGTGGACTTGATACTTGATACCCAAGTTTTAAAAAGTGACAGTTGATGTAGCAGTACTGAGAAGATGATCAAGTGTGACTACCTTGATTGCAGACAAGGAAATCAGGGCGGCTCAGTCAGTAAACTCTTATACTTTTATAGAAAGGCCTTTCCTGATTTTAGTTGATTTTAATGAATTATCTATTTTTCTTCTAACTGTATTTTAATCTCATAACTTTTCTTCCTGCTATTTCTGTTTTATTTTCATTGCTCTTGTGAGAGCACTTTGCAACATTGTTTTGAAGAGTGCTATTAATAAAGATTATTATTATATTATTATTATTATTACCTGGAAGTAAAAGTCAGAAATAACAGGGGTACCCGCGGGGTCTTAAAAGTATTAAAAAAGTCTTAAATTTCATATTCCAAAAATAAGGCCTTAAATTTCATTACTAAAGTATTAAATTGCGTTTACCAAGGTCTTAAATTTTTTCTTGACCTTTTGTATGATTTAATTAATGCCGTAACGTCATAAATGAATACTTCGTGTGTGTGAGACTCCATAATTTACTGTTTAGTGTGATGTTATACGGCAGTACAGGTAACATTACTGTTTACGTCAGTGTTCAGCTTTACGCTCTGAACTGTGGAGTGTTCACGGTGCACGAGCTCTGGCATCCAAGCGCTGGTGCGAATCAGTCAGTTAGAAAAGAAAACGTCTCTGACGGGCTACTAACGTTAGCTCGATTACTCAGAATGTGCAAGTGTCTGAAATTCAGAAAGCCAGAGATACGAACAAGTTGGCGGGCGACCGCCATAGCACAACAAGCTGATCGGCATGCGAGCTGACGGAACAGCGGAGCTGGAAGACCCGCAGAAGGTTCCTGGTCAGTGAATGATACAACAGCAACGGAGAGACAGGTGTGTTTGAGACGAGGACCGTGTCTGTGTGTCGGTGTGGCGCCACTGTTGCAGTTCTGTGAATGGAAACATCCGACATGCTAACACTAAACTTACATCACCCAGAGGGGCCGATCACCGGGAAGAGGAAAAAACAAACCGGAGCCCAACTCCTTATCCCCGCTGCTTTCAAGCCAATGCTAAATAATACAATCAAGCAGCCTTTAGATGCAAAACCAGAACAGGATGAATAATCACTGAAGCAACTGGCATATTAAATTTCATTACCTTATCCAGCCAAGGTGTAACTAACTGTAGCAACTCATACTGCACAATTTATTTTGTATTTTTGATTTCACCCCATAAGAGTTCTTGGTGCACAAATATTGTATTCATATGTGTCATTTACACTGGGAATACATCACTTTTTTAAAAGCATTTTTTTAAATAGGCCTATGTTCTGAAAAATTACTTGCAACAAGAAATGTTAAAAAAACAAATGAAAATACTTTGAGAAAGGTTTATTTGCACAATAAGAAAACATGCACTTTAAAGATAGAAGAAACAAATGTGGATTGTTCAAAAAAGTTTAAGCTAAAAAAATCTGAATCACTTTATATAAATAAAAACAATTCTATCATAAACTGGTGCAGACAATGTCTCCAGAATGCAGGAAATTAATTATTATTAATTTAATGCTCAAAAAATTCTAGGGGACCCCCAGACCCCCCATTTTTATATTTCAGCACTGAGTATTTCATCAAAATAGTTAAAATATCTTCTTGTCTTGTTCTCGTGAACCCAAGATTGTGAATCGTGCATGTGAGCTAAGTGTATCGTCACACCCCTAATCTGAACCCCTATGTCCACACCACTTTTCAACACAGCGACGTCCTTGATTCACATCAAAGTACAAACACACCCCAAAAAGCTATAGTGTGTTAAATATTAATGTATTATTATAAAATGTTTTTGTATGTAACTTCGTAAAATAATTTTCTCTGGCTTAAATTAAATCAGATTTTTCATTAAAAAAGCAGTGAAGTTGGTATTAAATTTCATCATAGGCGGTATTAAAAAGGTCATAAAAAGTCTTCAATTTAACTTTGAGAATCCTGGGGGTACCCTGAATAAAAATCCTTTAATCAGCAGCACAAACTACAGCCTACTTTGCTTGTCTCTATCAGGTGGTGGTGCGTGGGTGGAGTAACCAGGGTCTTCGTGATGAGCTCTATATCCAGCTGTGTCGTCAGACCACAGAGAACTTCCGCTACGACAGCCTGGAGAGAGGCTGGGAGCTCATGGCCATCTGTCTTGGCTTCTTCCCCCCCACACCCCGCTTTCACACCTATCTGGAAGGCTACATCTACCGACACATGGACCCGCTCAACGACACCAAGGGTGAAGGGGCAGCACACACACTCAGCCATGAGCTGAGTAAAAAAAACAAATAAAAACTACAGTATCACATGTCTCTAAATTCCTCCCACACGTCCAGATGATTGCTCAGTAGGTACTACAGGAATATCTGGAATTCTTACCCCATTCTTACACCTTGTTCCCTACTGGTACACCATTAGTACAAAACATTATACCGTTTCTCTGCAGTCATTTCTCTGGGCTGTAATCTAGAGTGCTCAGCCTTCTCATATTTTTGTACATTAATACTTTTTTTATTATTTAATCAGGCCCTGACTGTGTAGGTCATTTAACATATAAGACCGTGTTTCGGTAGATTGTGTGGGTTTTCCCATCAAAAATGTATTTTCATGCAAACAGCTGAATAGCACTTATTTTTTGGCATTGCAACTTCAACGCCACAAGCTTATAAATACAGTTATACACTGCATTTTGAAAACAAAAAGAATAGTCAGGGTTTTTGTAATGGGGGAATATTGATCTGACCTGCACTGAGGACTGTCTTTGGGGAACACTGGGATCAAGTATCAGATAAGAGGGAAACTGATACAGATATATAATCCAACAAATATCTCCAGACCTGTTACTACTCTTATTTTAAACAGAAAATTAATTACCTGCAAACCCAAATGCTATGTAGAACATCAGCTGCTTAAGCAAAGTATTGACAAAAATGAAACTACAACATCCCACAACCACTGTTCACAAGCAGGAGACACGCTGAGAGACAGCAGCAGTGACTGTCTTAAATTAAATAACTTACCTGATAGTGCATTTTACGTGTCAGGCACCTTAAAGCTGTACTGGTGCTCTGCTTCCCCCTACAGGTGAACACATGAATAATAGATTACTCTCTTCAGCTCCAGTGTTGGAACCGAATGAATCACAAATCAGACCAGTCCGCTTTGTTTTCCTGCTTGCCAGAATGAAAGGTTGTGAGCTTAAATGAGCTGGAGAACTGGTTATTATTAGGTTTAGTCACTGGAAGTACTGGGATGCTGTAAATAAAAATTGTTTAATCAGGATTAAGGTCCTAAAATAAATTTTTAGCTTTGGTATATTTAATATACTTAGATAAGCCAATAAGATGTGTTTTAATATGAAGAAGGTCTGAGCTCTACACTTTCACTTTTAGTCAGCAGTTAATCCTCTGGGTCTGCTTCACTTCTGACCGAGCCCTTATTAACACATTCCAACATCCTGACCTGAATGAAATTGTTTCTGTTGAATCAGTATTTGTGTGCAAAATATGAAATTTTCTAATAGTGTAAATATGGCTTCTTTTTGCTGTTGCTTCAGGAGTGGCCATTAGCAGCTACGCTAAATACTGCTACAGGAAACTGACAAAAGCTGCTCTGACTGGAGCCAAGAAGGTAAGCACCTTTGGCTCTGTCTGTCTTCTGCTCAGATCAACATCAACGTGTGTGTTATGATGCTATTCTATATGTTTCCTATTGTGAACATGAAAAAGCCCATCTAACAATGTGTTAGTCCGACTCAGTACTTTCTGACTTCTCTACCTTTTATGTGTCAAGACCATCGGTTCCTACTGAAGGTAGACAGCACAAATAGTTTCTAGTTAAAAAGACTCATTAATCTCCTAAACATTATAACAAATGTTACTCAAACAGGAGGCTGCAGTGAATGCTCCATATTTGTATAGCGCCTTTCTAGTCTTTTTTGACCACTCAAAGCGCTTTTATATACACACTATCACATTCACACACTGAGCCTAAGTGCTCAAACAGAAACTAACATTCACACACATTCATACAATGGTGGAACAGCCACCAGGGGCAATTCAGGGTTCAGTATCTTGCCCAAGGACACTTCAACACTTCCTGGAGGAGCTGGGGATTGATTGATTGATTGATTGATTGATTGATTGATTATTTGGGACAGCAGGACAGTGTGGGACTGAGTCAAAATCTACTACAATGTGTGCTCATTCTTGATAAATCTTACAATCTTTTTATAATTCCTGTCCCGGGAGAGGGATCCCTCGCTCTGCCTGAGCTGTCTTCCTTTTCTCCCCTGTCCTGAGACATTTTAAACAACAGTGTGCTCCCAACTTTGTGTCAACAGTTTGGGTTTGTCCCTGTGAACAAACCCAGCTCCAAAAAGAAATATGATGGAACGTGTTGAGTTTTTTCAGATTTTGAGAAAGGAGAGGCTGGGTCCGATGAAAATTACCAGAAAATTTAATTAAAAAATAAGTGAATAAAATATGGCATTACAGAACAAACATAAAACAAAAACACTGCAGTGGCCTGGAACGTTGTTCCTCTCTTCAGATTTACAGCTTACAGTCCCGATTCTCACAAAATGAGTTGTTTATATCCTCCAGGTATGTGGGCGGGTCCTTTTTCCTCCATAGTCATTGGTCGTTTGGTTGCTTTCTTCGTCACCCAATTAGGAAGGGTGTACCATTATTGTATTCATTACTTTTGGTCAGACAAAGGAGCGCCAATCCCAGATGTGAAACCCCCTTCAATCTACAGGAATAAACAGTCTTTTGCTCTAAACTAATCATAGTGAACAACAGGGCTTGTCTACAAAATGGTTGACACCCTATCTTAAGTGTCAATGAAACAGTTAAAACAAAACAGTCCTTCTGGCACTAAACAAAGAGGTGTCAGTTTTCTTCACATTACAAAGAGGAGAAAAAATGGTTTAATCAACATTCTGATGCAATCGTCTGGCCTAAAACACAGCAGGTTACATTTTTACATTTACTCATTTGGCAGACGCTTTTATCCAAAGCGACTTACATTTAAGGAACAACATACAAGCATCAACAGAGCATCAACTACAGATCTACAACTGACAATACATACTAGTAAGAGCAGCAATAAATACTAGTAAGAGCTCACAGTACATATCACATCAATGGGGTAGATACCTAGGGAAGGAAGTAAGAGTTAGCAAAAAGTGCAATCAAAACAAAAAGTACAATCAATACAAGATCATTGTAGGGGATAGAAGAAGAAGAGCACAGGAAGTGCATGTTAGAGGTTAGGAGTTAGAGGTGTTATAAGAGGAAGTGTTCTCGGAAGAGATGAGTTTTCAAGAGCTTCTTGAAGTTAGAGAGGGACGCCCCTGCTCTGATGGCGTGTGGTAGCTCGTTTCGTCACAGATGAGAATAGCCGGGACTGGGATTGCTTTGTGTGAAGGGATGGCAGAGCCATTCATTGGAGGAGCGTAGTGGCCGAGAAGGAACGTAAGTTTGTATTATGGAGTTTAGGTAGATGGGTGCAGACCCAGTAGTCACTCTGTATGCAAACATTAGTGACTTGAATCTGATTCTGGAGGCCACGGGGAGCCAGTGGAGGACACTGAGTAATGGAGTGACATGAGTCCTTTTGGGCTGATCAAAAACCAGACGGCGCTGCTGCGTTCTGAACCATTTGTAAGGGTTTCACCGCACAAGCTGGAAGACCTGCTAGGAGGGCATTACAATAGTCGATGCGAGAGATAACCATGGCCTGTACCAGAAGCTGGGTGGCGTACTGAGTGAGGTAGGGCCTGATTTTCCTTATGTTGTATAGAGCAAAGCGGCATGACCGAGAGACAGCAGTAACATGGTCTGAAAAGGACAGCTGGTCATCAATCATGACACCCAAGTTTCTCACCACCTTGGTTGGAGTGATGGTTGCGGAATCAATTTGTAGTTTGATGTTATGGTGGATAGATTGCTTGGCTGGAATGACCAAGAGTTCAGTCTTAGAGAGGTTTAGTTGAAGGTGGCAAGCCTTCATCCATGCAGATATGTCCGAGAGACGGTCCAAGAGACAGTCCGTGATCTGCACCGAGACAGTGGGATCGCCTGGCAGGAAGGATAGGCACCTTTTAGAAGACAGAGGAAACTGAAATACCTTTGGTAAGAAATATCAGCTTTGTTGTAACTTTTTAAACTCTACAAATGTGACTGGCCACAGAGACCTGACCATCAAACACCTTTGGAAAGAACTGGAAAGTGGGCTGCGAACCAGGCCTTCATCAGCCACCATCAGTGTTGGACCTCAATAATGCTCATGTGGCTGAATGGGAGCAATCCTGTTCCAAAATCTGGTGGAAAGCTTGAAAACAGAGGAGTGGAGGCTGTTACAGCAGCACATTAATATCCCTGGTTTTGGTATTACATGTCACGTATGTGTGTGTGTATATGTGTGTATATGTATGTGTATGTATGTACAGTGGGGAACAAGTACTGTATTTGACACAATGCTGATTTTGCAGGTGGGCAAACGGGGGCAGCAGGTGACCCGCAGCCACAGATCCAAACTCCACAGCTCCAGAGCCAGAAAACCTGCAGGAAGTGATAGGAGGAGAGAGGAGAGGGACGAGAAAGCACAAGACTACAGGAAAGGGGAGAAGTTGTGTTAGTAACATGCAATAATGGGATGAGGTTGCATACAGAGGGAGAGAAAGTAGAGGAGAGAGGAGCTCAGTGCATCATGGGAAATCCCCCGGCAGTCTAGGCCTATAGCAGCATAACTAAGGGATGGTTCAGGACTCACCTGAGCCAGCCCTAACTATAAGCTTTATCAAAGAGGAAAGTCTTAAGCCTACTCTTAAATGTGGAGATGGTGTCTGCCTCCTGAACCCAAACTGGAACCTGGTTCCACAGGAGAGGAGCTTGATAGCTGAACGCTCTGGCTCCTAGTCGACTTTTGGAGACTCTAGGAACCACAAGTTCTGGGGCGGCTGTGGCTCAGGAGGTAGAGCGGGTTGGCCGTTAATCGGAAGGTCGGCGGTTGCGTGTCAAAGTGTCCTTGGGCAAGATACTGAACCCCGATTTGCCCCTGGCGGCTGTTCCGCCAGTGTATGAATGTGTGTGAATGCTAGTTTCCGTTTGAGCACTTAGGCTGAGTGTATGAATGTGTATCACTGGTGAATGCAGATGTAGTGTAAAAGCGCTTTGAGTGGTCGAAAAGACTAGAAAGGCGCTATACAAGTACGGAGCATTTAGATTTACAAGTAACCCTGCATTCTGGGAGCGCAGTGCTCTGATGGGGTAGTAAGGTACTATGAGCTCTTTAAGATAATTTAATTTCTTTAAGATAATTTAATTTCTTTAAGATAATTGACCATTAAGAGCTTTGTAGGTAAGAAGAAGGATTTTAAATTCTATTCTGGATTTTACTAGAAGCCAGTGCAGAGAAGCTAGGACAGGAGAAATGTGATCTCTTTTCCTGGTTCCTGTCAGAACATGTGCTGCAGCATTCTGGATCAGCTGAAGAGTCTTAATGGACTTTTTCGAGCAGCCTGATAATAAGGAATTGCAGTAATCCAGCCTAGAAGTAACAAATGCATGGACTAGTTTTTCTGCATCATTTTTAGACAGGATGTTCCTGATTTTTGCAATATTATGTAGGTGAAAAAAGGCGGTCCTTGAAACTCCAAGATTCCTCACAGTGGTGCTGGAGGCCAGAGTGATACCATCAAGAGAAACTATATCTTTAGATAATGCGTCATGGAGGTGCTTGGGCCCCAGAACAACAACCTCAGTTTTATCTGAGTTTAACATTAGAAAATTACAGGTCATCCAGGTTTTAACATCCTGAAGGCACATTTGAAGTTTAGCTAACTGATGAGTTTCATCTGCATAACAATGAAAGCTTATGGAATATTTCCTGATAATTGCCTAAAGGAAGCATATATAAAGTGAAGAGGATTGGTCCGAGGACAGATCCTTGAGGAACTCCATAAGCATGCATGGAGGACTCATTAACATGTACAAACTGAAATTGATCTGATAAATAGGACTTAAACCAGCTTAGAGCGGTTCCTTTAATGCCAATGAAATGAAATGTTCCAGTCTCTGTAATAGGATCCGATGGTCAATGGTATCAAATGCAGCACTTAGATCTAATAAAACCAGTACAGACAAGTCCTTTGTCTGATGCAATAAGGAGGTCATTAGTAATTTTCACCAGTGCTGTCTCTGTGCTATGATGAGAAAAATGAAAGGAAAATCCTCAAATAAACTATTGCTCTGTAGAAAGTCACACAGCTGTTTAGCAACTGCTTTCTCCAGGATCTTAGAGAGAAATAGAAGGTTAGATATAGGTCTTAGTATTTGATACATCAGAAAAGCAGAACTTAATATTTGGTACAGAAACATTTGTTTGCAATTACAGAGATCATTCGTTTCCTGTAGTTCTTGACCAGGTTTGCACACACTGCAGCAGGGATTTTGGCCCACTCCTCCTTACAGACCTTCTCCAGATCCTTCAGGTTTCGGGGGCTGTCGCTGAGCAATACGGACTTTCAGCTCCCTCCAAAGATTTTCTATTGGGTTCAGGTCTGGAGACTGGTAAGGCCACTCCAGGACCTTGAGATGCTTCTTACGGAGCCAGTTGCCCTGGCTGTGTGTTTCGGGTCGTTGTCATGCTGGAAGACCCAGCCACGACCCATCTTCAATGCTCTTACTGAGGGAAGGAGGTTGTTGGCCAAGATCTCGTGATACATGGCCCCATCCATCCTCCCCTCAATACGGTGCAGTCGTCCTGTCCCCTTTGCAGAAGAGCATCCCCAAAGAATGATGTTTCCACCTCCATGCTTCACGGTTGGGATAGTGTTCAAACACGGCGAGTGGAGTTTAGACCATAAAGCTCTATTTTTGTCTCATCAGACCACATGTCCTTCTCCCATTCCTCCTCTGGATCATCCAGATGGTCACTGGCAAACTTCACACACGGGCCTGGACATGCGCTGGCTTGAGCAGGGGGACCTTGCGTGCGCTGCAGGATTTGAATCTATGACGGCGTAGTGTGTTACTAATGGTTTTCTTTGAGACTGTGGTCCCAGCTCTCTTCAGGTCATTGACCAGGTCCTGCCGTGTAGTTCTGGGCTGATCCCGCACCTTCCTCATGATCACTGATGTCCCACGAGGTGAGAACTTGCATGGAGCCCCAGACCGAGGGAGATTGACCGTCATCTTGAACTTCTTCCATTTTCTAATAATTGCGCCAACAGTTGTTGCCTTCTCACCAAGCTGCTTGCCTATTGTCCTGTAGGCCATCCCAGCCTTGTGCAGGTCTACAATTTTATCCCTGATGTCCTTACACAGCTCTCTGGTCTTGGCCATTGTGGAGAGGTTGGAGTCTGTTTGATTGAGTGTGTGGACAGGTGTCTTTTATACAGGTAACGAGTTCAAAACAGGTGCAGTTAATACAGGTAATGAGTGGAGAACAGGAGGGCTTCTTAAAGGAGAACTAACAGGTCTGTGAGAGCCGGAATTCTTACTGGTTGGTAGGTGACCAAATGATGTACCTATGATAAACCTCTACATGCTTTGTTAGTAGGAAAACCTGCAAAATCAGCAGTGTATCAAATACTTGTTGTGTGTGTATGTATGTATGTGTGTGAGCGTGTTGGCAGGCAGCAGCCTGGCTCAGAGCCTGTGCAGCATGTAGTGCCAGACTCTCAGCAGGTCACTGACAGAGATTATTTGCCACTTTTAGGACTCCACAGTGTTTGACTGGTGTTAACCTGCTAACCTTTAACAGCACATTAATGAGCTGTGGCCTATGGATGGACCAAATTCCTCTCCTGCTTTCTGACCTACATCCTTCAAGTACTCAAGCTGCCCTTCATCTGCCCGGCTGTATAACATTAGCTCCTCTGTGTGTCTGCTCAGGGCCTGCAGAAGCCTTGTATAGAGGAGATCAAGCACGCCAGGAACGCCATCTTCAGTCCCTCCATGTTCGGCTCTTCCCTGGAAGAGGTGATGGTGCTCCAGAAAGAGCGATATCCAGACAGCCAGCTGCCCTGGGTGCAGACTCGCCTTTCTGAAGAGGTTCTGGGTCTCAATGGAGACCAGACAGAGGGCATCTTCAGGTGAGTGAGAGAAAAGAGCAGAAGGACCTTGGAACAGAACAGAGAGGGCATCATTAAGCTGCTGAAGGTTTGTTTGCTGCCCCCAGTGTCCATAAGATGCCATTAATATGGCAAGCTTGTTAGCAGGATTTTAGGTTTATACACAAGAACTATGTAGAAACCAGGACATAACCAAGTCCAGAGAAGACGAGAGTGACACTGGAAAGGGGGGAGGAAGCGTAACCAGCCTGTGACCTTCCACCTCCAGGGTACCAGGGGACATAGATGAAGTCAATGCCCTCAAGCTGCAAGTGGATCAATGGAAAATCCCCACAGGACTGGAAGATCCGCACATCCCGGGTAAGTACACACACCGACACACACACACTTTTTTTTCCACTATCCCATCTCATTGACATAATGTATTCCCTAGCCCCTTACCCTAACCTTAACCATCACAACTACATACCTAACCTTTACCTAATTGTAACGTGAACCCTAAAACCACATCTTAACATGGGTTAAGGCCAATTTATACCATATGGCTACATGCCGTTGGGAGCATTTATAGATAGATACAACGCCAAATGCTGATGTCATATTTTTGAGGAGGTGTGTGTTAGGCTATGGCGTGGATTCAGTGCAAGTATAAATTGCCCTTTAGTTTGCATTCAGGTTGAAGTCCGTACTGAGATATAAGAACATGAAACAGACATTGTTGAGAATACTGCTGGTTCAGGTTCCACATGTTGTCATGTACAGGAAGTTGGTGTAAATGGACATGAGGTGACAGCAGGCTGAGTCCTCACACTAACTCTCTGCAGCCCAGAGAAAATGATGCACATGCAGTCACAGCAAATGTTCACATGACTTGATTTTAAATGTGCTTCCATGGAGGTCTCACCCTGTTTCTGTCTCTGCGTGTCCCCAGCGTCTCTGCTGAAGCTCTGGTACAGGGAGCTGGAGGAGCCACTGATCCCTCATGAGTTTTATGAGGAGTGTATCAATCACTATGACAACCCAGAGGCAGCTGTCAACGTGGTGCTGGGCCTGCCACACATCAACAAACTGGTGCTCTGCTACCTCATACGCTTCCTACAGGTAACACAGACACACAGTTTCCTTTAGTCAGAAAGCCAAGGCACAGCCCTACATCATATCATTACTTACCAATATATTGACCAGTTGTGACTCTTGAATTAAAAAGGGGTAACACGGAGGAGGAGGAGCTGAGGCAGGACAAGCAAGCAAAACACATCTTCTCACTTCCCTCTTGTGGTATCACTACAGTAGTTTTGGTTTTATTTCTCCAGGTTTTGCAATATCTGTCTGAGATTTCTGTCCAATACGAGGAGGAGGAGAGAAGGAGAATGGCATTTAGTTTGTCAACAGCTGTAACTATTTTCTACCAAAGCAGAAACAGACCCTATTAAAACTGCTCTGTGGATTAGCCAGAGAAACATGAACAATTTGTCTATAAAGAAATATCGCTGTTGAGTTTTTTCAATGTCATTTTTCAATTCTGTGAGCAGCACCAACTCAATTCCAGTTTGGCTAAAGTGGTTTGGGGTGGATGCAGAAATCTCAGAGATAGAAATAAGAGTAGAAATAAAACCAACACTGTCTGCACAGATAGAATCCATAGCAGTATCTATCCATGTAGACTGAAAGGAGTGAGATATATGTTTTGGAGTTGTTTTGGGTGGCAACCCTTTTCACTACGTGATCTGAGCAGTTTCCAAAGCTAGCTAGCACCAAAGTCCTGTTCAGACAGGAAGCGACTGATGCGCCCAGTTAATCATTTACAATGAGAGTTGAGCAGCAGTCAGACCAAGGGGGTAAGCCAGAGATCAGACAGTGAAGCCGACCAAAGCCTGCATGGAGGGATCCATGTAGGCCCAAAAATGACCCTGTGACACCCGGTCACACATGAGAGATGTAACCTTATTGCTTAGATTATAAGCTCTCAGCAATCTAAAAAAACTATTCGGCCATCAGTGACGCTGCGTTGGTGTTTCACAGGTGAGCCTCGTAGGTGGGCTGATTAATCAGTGACGATCCGAGTCAGACAAACACACTGAGCCATAAAACTTTTTTCGGTGCAGCTACCAGAATTACGGTGTTTCTGCCGTTGTTCTGCGTCATTAAACCGCGGTTATGCTGCGCGATCATGCGCAGTAGACGCTGGTTCCAACAGGAAGTAGCCCTGTAGTAGTATTTTATTGGTCCAAAACTGGCTTCACTGCTCTCCATTCACATCAGCGGAGTGGCTTCGTCCAGTAATATACTGTCTATGAGTCAGACAAGCGGAGCAACAAGCAGGACCGATCATGTGAAATCATCAGCAGAGAGAGAGACCTCAACACCAACAACCCCAATAGATATGTGGCAGGCCATCAAAAACATCACAGGCTACAAAAGCAGGAGCTCCCCCATCATATGTGAGGCCACATTACTACTCCACCTCCAGAGGAGCGACCACTGTCAGTATCCACAGCAGATGTGAGGAGAGTCCTGCTGAGAGTGAATATGAGTAAATCAGCTGGGCCTGATCCGTCCACAGCAGCGTTTTAGCTGCGTATCAGAGTTGATCTCTGTCTACATTAAAACAACTGCAAACGCAAATCTATTGGCCGTTCAGGTACACTGGGCATGCGCATGCTGGTGTAAACATGAAGCAGAAAGTCTATTCCATAGTTACAGAAGATCTGGCGAAAGAATAAAGAAATGCAGACGAAGAACCACACCAGATTTTATTTTGCATGCACCAATAACAAGCTGGGACTGTTACTGAATGTAACACGGTACTGTGGCGGTGGAAAACAGCCTGGGAGTCGTTGCGAAGTAAACAGCGACATGCAGTTGCCTACAAGTAGGCAGGTAGGCCTAACTGTGCTTTCAGAGCAAAAGCAAAGCGAGCGTTCGGGGCGGTGAGTTTACATACAAAGTCAATGCAAAGACGCCTAGAGCCGTGATTTCCTGTCGGGCGGCGTGAAGGGGGCGGTGCCGGCGATGCGAAGGCCTTTGCGTGAGTTGAAAATTTCCATTTTTCGCGGGTTCTAAACGCCTTTCTCGCGTTGTGCGTGAACACTTGCAGCGGATGTACTCACGCAAGGAAAGCGTCACGAGGATTAAATTTGTGTTTGGTCTGAAAGCACCATAAGTCCCCGTGTCCACCAAAGCGTTTTTTTCTGACGCCAGCGTCTCTTTTCAACTCATTCCAATGGGAGCGCCACGTTTTTACAAGCTGAGAGAGTTGAAAAATGTTCAACTTTGGGAAAAACGTCAATGTCACTTTTTACCCAGCTGTCCAATCACAGTAGAGGAGGGGCGGGACAAATACTACACCGTAGCAACGGTTACTATCCTGGAACCGGGCTTCATCTAACCTCAGCTCTTGGACTAAACGGTGGTACTTGCCAAGATGTTTCCTCACCCACAAAATGTCATGAACCCACATACGGTGAGTCCGTCCTCTCTCTCTACCTGCTTCAGCCTTCTCTTCATACAGAGCAAGGGCCAGAGCAAGTACTCTACTCTGTGTTGACATAAGTTAGCTAGAACTACTTGCAACAAATGTATCATAGCAACCAAAGCAGTCAGAAAAAATGCTGCACCTCAAAAATGCCCGCTAGCGCTCCCTGCTGGCCGTTTTCAAAAGAGCAGCTGCCGTTTTCAGCTGGCAAAAAATGCTGTGGTGGACACGGGCCCTTAGTGTTATTTGCATGGTACAGAATATTTTAATAAAAATACCAAATCAAAAACTCTGTCAGCAGCATCATGTGTCTGCTTTGCATGCGAAGCTAGCGAACAACAGTCTTAAAACTAAATGTACTCACCAGAGAAAGTGAACAGCCAACTCCTAATAAGCTTTTTCAGGGTACGAGTCGGCTCTAGCCTGATTGACAGGTCACCATGGTAACGACTTGTCAATCATAGATAGATAATCCCGCCCTGAAACATACTCTGCTTTTTGGTCTATTTTAAAATAAATGGGACCATAATTTACTAAATGAACATCATTTTGTGTTGAAGAAGACTTGAAACTAGCGACTGAGACCATAAACTCACCAGGAAAGTGTTTACTGGGGTAATTATTCAGCTGAGAAGTAGAGTCATTTTCACATTATTTCTAATTGAGCCGGACTTCTTTTTGCAACCAGAGGAGTCTCCGCCTGCGGGATTTTCAATAGAATGCAGGTTTCAGGGACTTCCGCGTTTGCTTCACATTGTAGACCGGAAGCTTCCCGCTTGGTGCAAACGTAGCAAAACGTCTCAGTTTTAATTTGAAAACACAGTAGTGTGGACGGGACCCGAGCCCTCACACACCATGAGGAAAAACAACACCTACATCAGAATGCTGTTTGTGGATTCACAATCCCCCCCCCATGAAACTGATAAGCAAACTCAGCACTCTGGGTTTAAATACAACACTCTGCAACTGGATATTGGACTTCCTCACAGACAATGACAGTTGGGATTGGTGGTTTTACATACATATGGATTTCACAAAGGGATCTCAGTCCTTGTTCTCATCTGTGACACCACAATGGTGGAACGAGCTACCACACGCCATCAGAGCAGCGGTGTCCCTCTCTAACTTCAAGAAGCTCTTGAAAACTCATCTTTTCTGAGAATAGTTCCTCTGATAACACCTCAAACATGCACTTCATATGCTCTTCTTCTATTGCCTTACAATTCTCTTGTATTGACTGCACTTATTTTTTAACTCTTACTTCCTCCCTAGCTATTTACCCCATTGATGCTGTACGTGCTATTAGCTCTTACTAGTATTCATTGCTGTCCTTACTAGTGGGTATTGTCAGTTATAGACCCCTTGCTGTATTGATGCTTTGTTGTTGCTTGTATGTTGTTCCTTAAATGTAAGTCGCTTTGGATTTAAGCGCCTGCCAAATGAGTAAATGTAAATGGGCACACCCCCTTCACTCTAGTGCTGAACACCAGAGCTCCCCAGGGCTGTGTGCACTTGTTAACTTTTACAGAGGAGCAATAGAAAGCATCCTGACTGGAAACATCACTAACTGGCATGGGATGTGCACGGCCCAGGAGCGGAGGGCTCTGCAGCGGGTGATTAACAACGCTCAAAGGATACAAGAAGACAGTACCCACCCAGCCACAGCCTGTTCACCCTGCTGCTGTCTGGCAAGAGATACACTAGTGATACTCTACCATAAATAACTTTACAGTGAGACTGCACATACCTTCTGGGTATATACATGTGTAGGTACAGTTTATATATATATATATATATATATATATATATATATATATATATATATAGTTTATTTCTATTCTAATTGCAATGAATATATGTTCTGTGTATGTGTTGCATGAAGGAGCTGAGGAACTGAAATTTCATTGTGTAGCCCTGTGTTTTAAAATGAAAAATAAATGACCCTTGTCCTAAATCTGACTTGAGGAACTTTAGAATATTCTGCTGTACGTTGTGTGTGCAGGTATTTGCCCAGCCTACCAATGTGACCATCACCAAGATGGATGTGAACAACCTGGCCATGGTCATGGCTCCCAACTGTCTGCGCTGCCAGTCTGACGACCCCAGGGTGATCTTTGAGAACACCCGCAAGGAGATGTCCTTCATCCGGGTGCTCATCCAGCGGCTGGACACCAGCTTCATGGATGGAATCCTATAGCCCCCCCCCCCCACACCACCACCACCACCACACACACACACACACACACACACACACACACACACACACCATCCATACATTACCCCAGCCCTTATGCACTCTTTACCCCCTCTGTAACAGGCCCCCACACACTCCCCCAGCACAGGAACATACACTCTGCTGCTGCTGGGTGAATACTTTGCCTCTCCAACATGTTTGCTTTTCTCGAACTAACAAACTGCCTTGTTTTGAGTTTGTCCACGGTACATTTTGAGTTGAACCAGCATTTTTTTATATTTCTGTAGTTGTAACCCTTCAACTGACATTTACATAAGAAAAAACACCCTTGGTATTGGAGTTCCAAGGTTTTCATATAACAGTGCTGTGTGTGCCTTCACATACATTAAATCAGTACACATACAGAATGAAGAAATTAGCACGTACCTCATCATTTGGTTGGATTCATGTGTTAGTTTCACTGGCACACTCAGTTCAGGACCTCAGGTTCATTTAAAATCCAACTATATAACTAATATTTGGTTTATAATTACTGATTTTTCCTCTTTGTCCCCCCCCCTCACGTTTTGCCCCAGTAATCCACCCTCTGCAGTGTACGATACCATCTAGCACAAAGCAAGAATTATGTAATGTGTTAGTCTCTCACAGAGACACTGGCTAAGTAATTCATCCATAGGGTCCATCACCAGATTTTTTTACAAGGTATGACGCCTAACTGCACCAGTCCATCAGTACTTGAATATACAGTGAGGAAAATAAGTATTTGAACACCCTGCTATTTTGCAAGTTCTCCCACTTAGAAATCATGGAGGGGTCTGAAATTGTCCACTGTGAGAGACATAATCTAAAAAAAATAATCCAGAAATCACAATGTATGATTTTTTAACTATTTATTTGTATGATACAGCTGCAAATAAGTATTTGAACACCTGTCTATCAGCTAGAATTCTGACTCTCAAAGACCTGTTAGTCTGCCTTCAAAATGTCCACCTCCACTCCATTTATTATCCTAAATTAGATGCACCTGTTTGAGGTCGTTAGCTGCATAAAGACACCTGTCCACCCCATACAATCAGTAAGAATCCAACTACTAACAAGACCAAAGAGCTGTCCAAAGACACTAGAGACAAAATTGTACACCTCCACAAGGCTGGAAAGGGCTACGGGGAAATTGCCAAGCAGCTTGGTGAAAAAAGGTCCACTGTTGGAGCAATCATTAGAAAATGGAAGAAGCTAAACATGACTGTCAATCTCCCTCGGACCGGGGCTCCATGCAAGATCTCACCTCGTGGGGTCACAATGATCCTAAGAAAGGTGAGAAATCAGCCCAGAACTACACGGGAGGAGCGGTCAATGACCTGAAAAGAGCTGGGACCACCGTTTCCAAGGTTACTGTTGGTAATACACTAAGACGTCATGGTTTGAAATCATGCATGGCACGGAAGGTTCCCCTGCTTAAACCAGCACATGTCAAGGCCCGTCTTCAGTTTGCCAATGACCATTTGGATGATCCAGAGGAGTCATGGGAGAAAGTCATGTGGTCAGATGAGACCAAAATAGAACTTTTTGGTCATAATTCCACTAACCGTGTTTGGAGGAAGAAGAATGATGAGTACCATCCCAAGAACAGCATCCCTACTGTGAAGCATGGGGTGGTAGCATCATGCTTTGGGGCTGTTTTTCTGCACATGGGACAGGGCGACTGCACTGTATTAAGGAGAGGATGACCGGGGCCATGTATTGCAAGATTTTGGGGAACAACCTCCTTCCCTCAGTTAGAGCATTGAAGATGGGTCGAGGCCGGGTCTTCCAACATGACAATGACCCGAAGCACACAGCCAGGATAACCAAGGAGTGGCTCTGTAAGAAGCATATCAAGGTTCTGGCGTGGCCTAGCCAGTCTCCAGACCTAAACCCAATAGAGAATCTTTGGAGGGAGCTCAAACTCCGTGTTTCTCAGCGACAGCCCAGAAACCTGACTGATCTAGAGAAGATCTGTGTGGAGGAGTGGGCCAAAATCCCTCCTGCAGTGCAAACCTGGTGAAAAACTACAGGAAACGTTTGACCTCTGTAATTGCAAACAAAGGCTACTGTACCAAATATTAACATTGATTTTCTCAGGTGTTCAAATACTTATTTGCAGCTGTATCATACAAATAAATAGTTAAAAAATCATACATTGTGATTTCTGGATAATTTTTTTTAGATTATGTCTCTCACAGTGGACATGCACCTACGATGACAATTTCAGACCCCTCCATGATTTCTAAGTGGGAGAACTTGCAAAATAGCAGGGTGTTCAAATACTTATTTTCCTCACTGTATCTGATTGATCCTGCTAGATTTGGGCCTCAGACACCAGGTGGAGAGGTGAACATGTGTCCAACATTGTTGTCACTGGCAGCAAAAGGCCTGTGTTTTACACTGCCACAACTTGGTAGGAGCTGAGAAATCAACACAGATGCTCTTTACTCCTCCATTTGTGATCCTGGCCTCAAGATGGCAAACGTGTGCGGTCTCAATAGGACAGAAACCAGAACTTCACTCTGTGTTCTTATAAAGGACGTCAGTGATAATAGCTCTGCTGGCCTCTTAGCCAACAAGTGAGGAGAACACGGACACTAAATGTAAGGACCACTGGCAAAACAAGTTATTTCATTCAGGATATCTGCAGAGCTGAAAGACTTATAAAGAGGCACTGAATTTAGTTTCCTCCCAAAAAGGCCCTACAGAGACCCTGTTCATAGTTCCATAAATGTTGTAAGCAACTTTTACACAAAACTAACAGTGCAAGTAGTACAATCCATAATATTAGTACATACAGCAGAATTTGGACCCAGCTATGCAATATGGTGTTTATATGCACCATGCTAACGGTTTAGCACAGTGTCTGTCAGTTGTCTTAGTGCTAAAATGTAATGTTGATTAGCAAGTCCAGTTCTCAAAGGTTCCCATATTACATGTTGAATGTTAGCAGGCACACTGCTATAAGTACCATACTCTTAGATATTGACCATATTTATATGCAGCCGAGTGAGAAAAACTCTCTAGTCTGTCACTAATTTTGAGTCAGAATCTCCCATATGGCAAAAAGAAGCACCAGTGTTGAATAGAAACAATACAGCTAATAAGAAATGCACTGTTACGTGGCTTGCATTGGGGTTATAATGTGTGAACGCTTCTTAATAGGAATGATGGAATTTCTTTTGTTCTTCCCTTCCAGCCAATCTAGAATAAATTCTCCATTATAGTTGTGTCACGCTTGGCCGTGTTTTCAGGCAGGAACAGGTTTTAGGACCCAAACGCACGACACAGAGGCAGAACAGGTACAGTGTCTGAGAATTTATTCAGGCCAACAATACTTACGGCAAGTCCAGAATTCAACAAAGCTAGGCCACAAACAGAGGTAATTCAAATGGCAACAGAAATACTACATCCATGGAACAGAAAGTTCAAACTATCAAGAAGGTAATATTCCAACAAACAACAGGGATCAGGAACAGACAGGAAACAAGCAGACACACGGCGAGCAAAATACATACAACGAAGTCACACACATTTAAGCACTGGCTAACGAGGAGGGCAGGAGCACAAACAGGTGATACTAATAAAGACAGCAGACAGGCAGGCAGAGAGAGACACACACTAACAAGTTTCAAAACACAAGGCAAGAATTTAACTGAAACTCAAAACACATAACAGATACTGAACAGACCAATAAACAAAACTCACAGAGACCTAAACTAAACCGGGCTGATCAGACAGGCAGTGTGACAAGTTGGCACTGCACCAACACTTGAAGTGAGCCAATCCAAATTCTGCTCATCTGTGGCCCCAGGTGACATCATAGGGTAATGGTGGATGCTAAAACACAGTGTAGCAGTAACACAAGTAGAGAAGAGTCATAAAGTCATCAGATTGACTCAGTAATGTCCGTTAAGCATCTAAAGTTCAGTAATGTTAGCGATGTTAACATTGGCTGCCATAAGCTACTGGCGATTCCAGAACAAGTAGGGCTGCAGCAGACAGTCCTCTCAGTCTGTTCACAGTGTGTTTTTGCTATAGTTATGTAGCATGCAGCACTGTGCTCAGTAATCTACAGTGCAGGTGGAGTTTGGTGTCCATGTTCTCATCACAGTTTAACAAAGGAAATCAGCCAGTGACTCTTGCCTTGGATCCGTCAGAGAAGATTGCCTGTCCTTTGTTTTAACATGTAAACTGATCTCTCAACAATCTTGAAGAAATCTGGGCATGTCTGTCCACTCTGCCACGGTATTTGGTGCTGTCCAGTCACTCCTGAACCCATGAACCAACAGCTAGAGTAGTAGGGATCATAGCAGCACTGCCAGTAAGGCCCCATGTAGAATGTTTCAGCACAGCATACTCGTACTTCTGGGAGCGATTTGAGAAGTGCCACTTCTTCCACAATACCACCCCCCACCAGCCCGTCCCCATCCTTCCATCCCACCTGACCACCACCACAGAGCCCCCACAGGCCTTTCTTCTCACTAATGATTTGTGAATGTGTCTAAGTGTCTGCGTGCTTGTCTGTCATTGTTTAAATATGGTCTTTGTCTCTGAACAAGTCCTGCTGTTTATTGTATTCATCTGAGATTTGTGCTGTATTTAACATAATTTCTTTGCTTTTAACCCATTCTTTTTATATCATTTATTTATATTTATTTGAGATTTCCTTAATGCCTTCTCAACATTTGTATGCTCCAGTGTGTTTTAGTTATGGCACACGCGTGGCAGTATTTGCACGACTGCGTGGATGTGTGATATGGCGCTTTTCCATTACCAGCTCGCCTCGACTCTACTCGACTCTACTCGGCTCTGCTCCGTTTTCCATTGCAGATAGTACCCAGAGATAGTACGTAGCTTGTCGTCATAGCGACACCACACACAACTGCCACGACGTAATGTTCAATGCGACACACACACCAGCGATCCACACAGCTTTCTCTTTTATAAGTTAAAACGTTTCAACATTCCTCAGAATGTAAAGACAGATAAGCGGTATGAAAACCTTCCAGCTGTGTTTTCCTCTGCCGTTGTTGCTGCAGCGGTCTGTGTGACGGCGGGAGCAGAGGGCTCTGTGAGCGGGCGGCTGGTCGGCCTCACACGTTCCTCCCCCGGGTCGGTGCAGGCTTCCCCCGCAGCCACTCACGGAGCTCCTCAACTCCAAAAATATTCAAGTACATTTTTGTTCCATCATCACCTTCTCGTAAAACTGTCAATATTCGAAATCTACACAGCTGATTTCTCCCCTCAAAACTGAAAAAGAAGTGGATTTAGTGATGAAATTCCATACATAAACTGTAAAATCTAAAGGGTTAGGGTTAGGTAGGCTACTGTGGTAGCTGGTACTGTGCAGTGGAAAAGGGGCTATTGTGTAGTTTTCAGTATGGTAGGGCACATACGTGTTGATGTGAATCTGTTTGACTCATTTGGGGTTTTTTGCAACACAACTAAAAGAACGACTGTGACTGCTTCATGGAGACACACACAAGGACCATCCTGGAAAAACACTGACTTTCAACTTAAAGGTCCAGCTGACACTCAGTCACAGATAATCTTTGTCTAAATGAACCTTTTTCTTTGTAAAGGTGGTGTGATGAGTGTCCTGTGTGTGTGTGTGTGTGATATGTAGCTCACTCACTCTGCCATACACACTCCACATAGATACAGAACATGTACATTGACACTGTACAGATTATGTAAAAATAAGTATATATATAGAAGCGAGAGCACCATATGTAACAGTGGAAAGTTGTTGTGGAAGTTAATGTCACAGGGTGGGGTTGTTTAATTTTTCTTTTTGTCAGTCTCGTCACAGTGTTAAATTTTCCTCACGTTGATAGAGGTCTGCAAGTGGCAATTTAAACTCATCTCCAGTCAGTCTGTGGACCACACAAGTTCCCCTGCCATCATCCATTCAAGTACCAGAAAATGTTTTAAGCCCAATATCTGTAACTGTAGGTATGAATCATACTCCAAAAAGAAGGATTTGTTGAGAGGAAAGGTTTTCTTAAGGTCTGGGCAAACCAGATATTTGCAGAGAAAGATGAATTCATGTGTCATTGAGATTGTGCAGCAAATATTCTAAGCCATGAGACAGCTTCCTCCCCATTGGACATTATGACCACCTGAGATCAACCAGCCCTTTGCTTAGAATCAAACCAGCTGCTGAGTGCAAGAAAACCATCGGCCTACTGGGAATCAGAACAGGGCTGACACTGTTTCATAGGTGATGTTTTGTAGACCCCAACCCAGTAATATCCCAAAACATTTTGTGAAGAGCTGAAACTCTGTTAACTCTAATAAGTATTAAATGTTGACAGTTAAATGATAGTGTTGGAGTAATTCACACAGGAATTTAGCTTTCTGATGCCTAACTATATGTAAACTGCTCCCATAGTCCTCTACGCAGACCACAGACATGATCAGTGTGATTTCCTCTTCTGTTTTCTTTACATGCCCAAGTTGATTACCAGTTGCTAGATGTAGGCAAGTGAAATGTTGACTATGTTAACAGGGTTTAGGCAGTTCAGACAGGTGAAATAAAGTTCTCAAGTTTTGGGAAATGTACTTAAGGCAGAACTAGTTAAAAGTGTCATCTGAACTTGTCTAAATGCAAAAGTGTTTTACTTGTTCTGAATGGCCACACTCGACAGCTTCGTATGGAGGGGCAGGATCAGATGAATTGTACAAACACACACTGACATTTTCAAAAGAATGAAAAATGAGAGCTTATGTTCAGTTCCTGCCTATTTTTCACCTCACCTACTTAGTAACCCACATCTGGCAAACAGCTGCCGAAAGGAGGCGTGATTGTCAGTTTGGGAAAGTTATAAAAGTGGTCAGACACAGGCCCAGGTTTCAGAAAGGCGTGGGGGAAAACAGTGTCGGACACTGTTCAACGATCAGACAAGCTGATACCTTTGCCCAGTCACTCCAGTTTCTATCTGCGCATCCAGTAAAAATACAGCTGGTTTAGCGTGTTTGGCCTAGCTTAGCACAAAGCAGAGCTTTGTGAAAACTGCTACATTGCACCTTCTGATAACTCCTCAGCGGTTTTATTTACAGGTTGCACCTTACGTCACACACGTAGAGCAGCAGTTTATAATTGGAACTGTTAATCGATCACAGTTGGGCACATGATTGCACGCAAGAGCAAGTTTTGTCTTGGTAGTGGTGTTGCCAACTCCATTCACCCTTGGATCAACTGGTTACTAGTTTACTAATGCACAAGATTTGTTTGGGTACCAGGGTCCAATTTGCATCCCATCCTCTAACTGAGACCCAGAATGTGACATCCTGTCCCACCTGCAGCAATCAACACGCTAGGTTGCTATGGCAGTTTTAATTCTTAAAATGTTTTCCCATTCTGATTATCAGAACATTTTTGGCATGAGGGTGAACTCACATGTTCTGACAGCCAATCATTTCTTCAATATAAGACAAAAACTTCCCTTATTTGACAACTGACTTCTAGGTGATGAATACAGCCAAACGTTTGCATTTTATTTCCTGTAAAACCACTTAGTGAGAAGCCTTGACATAACCAGGCCATGGTGTGTATGTGGTGTGTCTGTGAGAGTGTCTTTGTTTTCTGCAAGAGATGGCTGTAGACAGACCTGGAAAATCAACCTTTTAGCATGTAGACATAGGGTCTTCACTCTCTTCAACTTGGATTTACTAAAATATGAGAATATACAAGGACAACCAACTGACTGTACTGAAACTAAGTGTATTTAGCTTTAAAAAACCCACTATGAAAAAGATGAAGCTCTTTTTAATGCGTTTTTCTACTCAGTTCCTACTAATGATGAGTTGGTAGTCGTGTTGATGCTGTTTGAGGAACGTGACGATGAAGAGAAGGTGTGAGCCGGCTGCTGTGAAACTGCTCCTCCCCTCAGTGTCAATCCTCCAGGTTTTTCAGTTGTATTTTAATGTCCACTGTCACTCATACTCTGGAAGTGTAACGGACGTTGGCTTAATAAATGATTCATATGTCAAAGAAACAGGGGATGCTCTTTTACTTTCAACTGTGCCGCTGTGCGCTCGGACACAAGAACAAATGAAACGCTACATTTAATAAATGGAACATGCGTAGAAGTGATGAAATGTGTCCCATCTCATTACAAAGCTAAATGATGGATGTTCTACCGTAACTGGAATTCTGACAGAAACTAAATGTCAGTGTCTATGAGAACTTATGAAGCCACTCCTCCAGCTTCAAGCACTCGTGCTTCTAGCGTGGTTTCTATGATGTTCTGAGGGTTTTCTTGAACAGTGAAAAGTTGTTGCTGGAACCTTTGGAACTCTCTGAACTGAACTAAACGTACCACAGTCACTCTTCTCTTACAAGAAAACGACCAATTATGCATCAAGAGCTTTTTCCAGCCACTGCTCACTCCTACAGGGAGTGCTTTCTACTTCTATAGATGTTGCTCTAGCTTTGTTCACATGTTGCTGATGTGGTCAGCCATCGATTCGGTGGATTTCCATCCTTCCACCAGTAGAACACAGAATGGACGGAGCCTCTTCAGTGCAGTGCTCCACGTGTCGGAGTCTCGATCCCCTGGGTTTTTCCTGAGGTCAAGGGTCAATCGTTGTGGGGGACAATGTGTCCTCAAACTCTTAGCAAACTCCAGCAGCTCAGCAGGCTGAATGAAGTTGGAGCTGTTGAGGACAAAAGGCAGCACATGGAAATCATGTAAGAAAACCTTACTGTACACAGGGGTGAGAGTTACAAGTAAAAGTCCTGCATTCAAAATGTCCAGAAGTATTATCAGCCAAATCAAAAGTATAAGTACTTATTAAAGCCCATCTCAGTGTTCCATATATTGGAACACTGACACATGCCTTTGATGTGAGAGACCCGGGTTCGAATCCACTGCGAGACACCATTGTGTCCCTGAGCAAGACACTTAACCCCTCGTTGCTCCCCCTCGTTGAGGTGTGTGACCTCTGACATGTATAGCAGTTATAAGTCGCTTTGGATAAATGCGTCAGCTAAATGAATAAATGTAAAATGTAATTATTACAGATACTGAGGCATTGAAATGTTGTATGTGACTTGGTGGAGCTACACTTTACTATTTTCTATATCATTTCATAGTTACATTTATAACTATGCATCATATTTTATAAGCTAATCATATGTAAAATCGCAGCACAGGATAATTAAGTGTGCTATAAGGCCTTATAATGCATTACAGTGTACCTCTACATGTATTAAAATGAATCTGCTGCGGTTTTGGGGGGTAGCCAACAGGGGCCAACCCCCCCACCCCACCCCCCATGCCCCCCCCTCTGAACGAAGTCTACAACAGCCCTATTGAATTGGCCGCCGCGGGCCACATCCGGCCCAGCACCTAATCTGACAACAAAAGTAAACTACATGTATAGTGTATGAAAGTAGCTGAAGAGCGAGCTATATCGTTTCCTTCTCATCTTTGTTGAGGTTCACGTGCGCTGTACCAATCACCGCCAATCAAGGCTCAACATAACTGTCCGACCTGCTGCCTCTCCGCTCCTGTGTGTCTGCAGAGCGCCTCCACACACACACGCACGCCAGCAGCAGCAGAGGGAGGAGGAGGACAGGAGGGACTGAGCTGTTCATTCTTTCTAAACTTCACTCACTATGTTGATGTCAGGAATAGGATTTATTTTACTGACATGTTAGATTTGTTTCCAGTGAGGTATTAGTGACTTTGCTGTAAATCCTGTTGCTACTCTAGAAACAACATTTAGTTAATAAAAATGTTACATTCTCTTTTTAAATAATATATTCAATTATTTAGTAATAAATAGGACTGATAAGAGCATCGATAAAGAACTGAACAAATAATGATTACCAATACAAGTGTGTCAATAAAATCTTAACTCCAACTAGTGAGAAAATGTCCGGCCCATCTCTGTGTCCTGGTTTTACAATCCAGCCCAATCGAATCTGTAATTGAACAGCCCTGGTCTACAGTGATCAAATATATCTTCCTTTAGACGAAATGTACATTAAACAGAATGCAGCATTGTAGACAATATTTTGTCCTTGTACACCATGTTTCCACTGCATGGATAGCCTTTGGATCTTGCTGGAAATTGAGTCCCCCTCCTTAAAGGTATAATTATTATCATAACAATTTAATAAAGCACTTTTCATACACAAAAAGCGATAACAGTAGCCTACTGGTCCTACCAGGCTGGACATGAAGTCTGCCAAAATATGTGTCCCCGTCCATAATGCACAGATGATGGCCAAGTATTTTGTTTTAGGCATTTCATGTCAGGACTAATAACAGCGGTGAATATGGAGACGTTTGTTGTTTCCTAGCAAAAGTTATGGTGGGATACAAAATACAAACTGGTATCCAGAGAGTGTCTGGGGCTAGGTATGGCTAATGTCTAGAGCTGATTCTGTTCATAAACCTTACAAAGACATGTTGCATCAAAGAATGTACTGTCACTTGAGCTAAAGTTAACAGGAAGGTTGTTTTTGTATAATGTAATTCAGGCCCCCTCAATAAGACTGGTCTAGAACCGCCACTGAAATGAACGGTGTTGGATAAAACATGTTTTCCATTCATCATTGGACATGTAATACTTTTGTGGTATATGTTGTACACTTTCTTGAGGTGGCACTAGTCCCACCACAGTGTAGAGTTTTTTCACCTTGAAGTCTGGAGCCTTTTCATTTATCCTGACTTGGAAATGGCTGAAATACTCTGTATTGTGGTACTTAACTGGCCAGGGGTACAGTAATTAGCTAATAAGTAAAAATTCTAATGCAGGCCACCAGTGTTGAAGCCTAAGGTGAGGCTATATCCTGCTGTGGTCTGTAGTGCTCAAGGTTATCATCGTTAACGAAATAACGAAACTAGATGTGAAAAAACATTGAGTCGTTAACTGAAATAAAAATAAAAACAAGGCTTTACAAAAAAACGCTAACTAAATTGAAAGTCCTTAGTTTTCGTTTATTTATTTCATAGGACCTAATAAGCCTACATTTTGAGTGGGTATGAAGCCGGTGGAACTGATGATGTGGGGCAGCTGGTCTGGCTGGACTAAATGGACCGGACCGGCAGTTCAGCGGTGATTAGCCGATAGGCACCTGTTGGTGAGCCGGCATCTGGCCGCAGCGTAGCACGTGGCGACCGCTGTTACGAGGAGAGCCCCATGGAACGTTAGTGGGAGGCTAACTCAGCCGGGGAGACCCAGGTAGGGATCAGCTGCGTGGCTGCGTGGCTGGTGCGATTGAACATGTTTTATATTCTCTTTTATAGCCTACATACATGTGTACAAAATAATATGAATGCAACAACTGTAAAGAGTTAACTGTTAATGTTAATGTCTATGTTTTGTTTGGCCTGCAGGTAGTGAGTCACTGTCTTGGTGGGTTTTCTATTCCGGTGGTCTGGCTTAGAGCTCATCCTGCATGTGGGAAGAACTTGTCCCTAGTACACTGACTGCGAGCTCTCGGTGTGCTGGGTTAACATGTTGCCTGGTCATTATATTTACTGCTTGTCAGCTAGTGTGTGTTTTATGGGCTCATTGATTTCTCAGCCAAACTGTCTCTTTGTGCTTCACCTTGTTTTAATGCCTCTTTTTTGATTAATAAAGGTTTAGATTTCCAGTATAAAATATAAAAACTAATGAAAAATCCAAAACTATAATAAGCTTGGTAGTGCTTACCTGATGTCCAGTCGTTTCACAGAGCTTGGTGAAGATCCTGAGAACAGCTCTGCCAGCACGCACACGTTCTTGGCTGTTGGCACAGACGGGCGCATTAGTTTACAACCATTCATGAGTTAGAGATCCACCAAAAGCACAAACACAAGTCACCTTTCTGTTGATCTGGAGTCCAAGTGAGTCTGAAAAAAAAACAACAACAACAAAACAAAAATCCCACATCCAGACATGTAAAAAAGAAAGATAAAACAAACGACAAATAAATCAGAAACACTTCATCCCTGTCCAGACTGTTCAAGCCAAAAACTACTCAAGCAGAAATACTGTTACTTTGCAAAAGCATGTACTCAGGTAGAAGTAAAAGTAGAGTAGCGTCCAAAGTATTTAGTGAAAGAGTGATATGAGTGTAACAGCCACACTGCATTTTATTTGATATGGATGTGACTGGAATCATTTCAGCCACCGATGATCTTCCTCAAGTGAACATACACCGTATTTAGTTCTCCTGCCGCATACACCAGGACAATATCCCAGTGTGATATCACTAAATATCACAGTCATATATTAAGTACACTAAGAAGTAAAGATTTAAATGACATGCTTTGCTTGTTGTCTCCTAACACACACTGGTCTATTAAAAAAAGTAAATATAAAGAGTGTCAACATGTTGACTTTGTCACTTTTACCTGAGGAAGACCAGTGGTGTGGTTCAAACGTTACAGGAGTCATGTCCACATGAAATAAAAGTAGTGTGTCCATAGTTTGGTCTCTACATTTCTGTCTCTTGGTCAGGCTGCACCGATGACAAATGCACACGGCTAACACCGTTAGCCTGAATCCTGACATTATGGCAGACAGCAGCAGCAGCAGCAACAGATTTCAAGCATTCCAGCCAGGCTCCCTATGATATCATTTTCATACTTTACCACTGAAGAAATGCTTTGATACAAGCAGAGGCTCAGAGTGGGTGCAGTTAGGAAATAATTGTTATATCGCAATTATAGCCTATATCTTTCATTATGACATACTGTATCACATATCAATTCAGAAGGTATCTGACTACTGGCACATTTCCCTTTCAATCAAAGTCATTTATATCCCAAAAGTAGAGCTGCAACGATTAATCGATTAGTTATCTACTATTTCAAGTGGAAAATGAGTGACACAGGAACCAACAATAAACACAAGTGAAGGCCGCTATCAAAGCAACATGGCCTTCAATAACACCTCAGCAGCTACAGTTCTACTCCATGTCCAGAGGAGCGGCCACTGTCAGTATCCACAGCAGATGTGAGGAGAGTCCTGCTGAGAGTGAATATGAGTAAAGCTGCTGGGCCTGATAACATTCCTGGCCGTGTACTAAAAACCTGAGCTAATCAGCTAGTTGATGTTGCTACTGACATTTTCAGCATCTCACTGTCTCAGGAGAGGGTCCCCACCTGCTTCAAGACAGCCACCATCGTTCCTGTACCTAAAAAGTCTGCAGTGTCTAGTCTGAACGTCTACCGCCCTCAGGCTCTCACCCCCATTCTGATGAAGTGCTTTGAGAAACTGGTTCTTCAGCACATGAAGAACAGAAGAGATCCTGCTGGGAGTCAGCCCAGAGTCAGGTAACGGGACTGGTACTGAAGTGAATGATGTGAAGCATGTGCTTACCTAGCCGATTCTGAGCAAGGCCAAGTGTGTGGAGAGAAGGCAGCGTCTTCAGAGCAGCCACCAGCTGCTGCAAACTCTCCTCTTTGTCGCTCGACTTCTCAAGAAGGCGGCAGTCGCTAAAGCGTAGTTCTGAGGGAGGGAGAGGAAAAAGACTTGGACTCTGGACTGGGCTCAGTACAAATTATAAAACTGTGTGGGTTGGGACACTGATGGAAATTAATAGTCACTTAAAGCTGCTCTAAGCACTTTTTCCATGTTGTCCCAGCTATAATTTAAGGACTTGAATACCCTATAATTTCACTTATGTCCTTACCCAAGGCCACAGAGCCTCAATCTTTGTGTCTAGAACACCTGAATATCAGCCCTGGTTTGTGTTTTAGCTGAAGCTTGTGAGCTCGTCACTTTTTACCCAGCCGTCTAATCACAGTGCAGGAGGGGCAGGACAAACACCGCACCATCACCAACACCGCACCATCACCATCAGTGGTTTCAGCTGGCAAAAAACGCTTTGGCGGACACGGGCCCTTAATGATACTGCTGTATGATGCAGCTTTAGAAATTCTGAAACTTTAGAACATTACATTAACCCGTTTTTTTTTAACCTCAGGGAGCCGCTGCCAAAACTGCTTTAAAGCCTCTATGTGTGGGACTCTGTCATGCCATGGAACAGCTATGAGCAGTCAAGCCGCGTTGCACAGCACGGTGTGGTGTTGATCTTGAGGCGTGTTGGAGGTGGGCTGGTTGCAGAAAACGCAGTAAGAGACTTGGTGGACACAGTGCACGCTGCTGCTTGTACTATTCCCTCCTCCTATTTAAAACGGGCAAAATACATTCATATATTGTTGTGTAGACCTGTTTTTATTGAAGAATAGCACCACTAACAAAGCTCCACTAACTATATGACAAACACATTTCATTTCCTATAACTTCACAATAGAAGCCAATCAGTGGTTTGCTGGTGGAAAGCTTTGGCTATAAAACAGAGGTCGATATGTACAAACTGGAACACAGAAGTGAAACTCCAAACCCCAGAATTCAGCAACAAGCTACGAAAGCACTAAGAGCTGAACACAGAGAGACATTTAGACAGAGCTTTCGCTCAGACCATCAGCACAGGGAAAACGTGTTTATCTGTGGAAGACACAGGCTGGCCCTACTGTGAGGCAGCTTATCCCAGCTTGACTTGGCACGGCTAAAATGGATTGACCCAGTCCATGGGAAAAGAAGACACTGCTGCTAGCCTTGCATACAACACAGACCTGAAACCAACTCTAGTCTACAAAAAAATGGCACCAGTATTTTTTCAGTTGCAGGAAGAAAATCAGTCTACTCTGATCTTCTGTTCAGGTGCCACAGGTGTTATCATTGATGGCTCTTCTCCTTTTCTTACCTTCCAACTTGCAGTCTCTCAGCAGATTTAGGATCTCAGGGAGACAATCAGACAGCTTCAAGTCCTCCAAGTTCAGACTCCTCAAGAAGTGATTAGACTCTATTAAGACCACATTAAAAAGGTGACCTCATGTCATTACTGACCGTGATTATGTTTGACAGTTTGTATAATATATATATATATATATATATATACACACATATACACACACACACACACACACACCCCCCCCAAAGAGGTCGGGCATCAGACAGTGACAGTGTGTAGAGCCACCATGATTTTTTTATTTCCACCAAGCCTTGTGATTGTTGGAACAATCACGATTTTGGTGAGTTTTATTTAGTTTCTGATGAGTTTGAATGAAGTGTGTTTTACAATTAGTTAACAAGGCAATTAGTTTGGTAAAAGAGAGGGACTTGAATTCAGAGGGTGTATGGTTGTATTTTTCTGTTTCATAAGGAATATAGATGCAAGAACATTTCCTGGGGATCAGCCTCACAGAGAACCTGACATGCTCGTTGGCTCACATCTCCACACTGTTAAAGACAGCTCAGAAACGGCTAGATTTCTTAAGGAAGCTTAAGAAGGCCAAATTCTTGTCAGCTTTTACAGAGGAGCAATAGAACAATCCTCTCTACACATAAGAGCCCCCAGCAGAAAAGCCCCACACCTTTTAGAAGGCCCGTGACAGTGACATGACACATTACCTGATAGAGTGGTGAGCAGTTGGCTTTGAGAGGAGCCAGTTGGTAATCTCATCCCAGCTACGTGAAGTGAGGTCAGACGTGGAGAGCGTCTCAGCACAGATGTGATAAAGTGCAGATCTGTTTGGAGCTCAGCTACCTTGACGGTCAGCTTCTCCAGGGGCAGCTCTGCTGAAAGGACGTTAATAACAGTCAGCTCAGGTTGGTTTTTAAATCTAAAGCAGTGTCCCCAAACCCGTAGACTTAAAACAATTAAACGATTAGTTGATCAATACAAGATTCACTGACAACAATTTGACTATTAATGAATCATTGAAGTCATTTTTGAGGTAAAAATGCCAAACATCATCCCCCAGTTCCAGCTTCTCCAGGGTGCTGCTTTTCTCAGTTCGATATAATTGTAAATCGAATATCTTTGGGTTTGAGTCTTTTCTGACTTACAAACAACAACCTACTGATTAACAAATACTGAAATAAAACATCAGCAGGTCTAACCCACTTTAACCCTGCTCACTTCACTTTGGTAGAAGCTTCACAGCACCTGGCATGTCTGCCTCAGCAGTCCTGGGATGATGTGGTGAGAAGCGTGGACCCCACATCACAGCCTGGATCTCTACATGCAGGGACGTCACATGTGGGACTGCATCCAGCAGAATCTCCATGAGCTGGGTGTACGGCAGGGCGCTGATGCTCAGATCGGTGAGGGAGCTGCGGGAGCTCTCAGACAGCTGCTTCAGGGCTCTGGCCAGGCCCAACACATCCAAGTCCCTGAAGGTCGCTGCACAAGCAAACAAAACTACTTATTCCTCAACAACAGAACAAACGTATCATTCAGTGTTGGAACTACTCTCTGAAAGTGAAATAATCTTCTATTTTAGCGTGGATCCTGGACTTAGTATTTGAATTAGTTTTCAAAGTGTGATTTCTTAAATTAACGACAAAGTATTTTTAACAATAAACCATTTAACCAGGTTCTGGGATACATTTCTCTGAGAACCCAGTACAATAGAGCTACATGGAATTTCCTGTAGCTTGTGTCGTCAAAAATGTTAAATCAAAAATACTCAACGCTGTGAGACATTTCCATTCACCCTCGTATTGGAATGGAGGGAGAAATCTCAGTTGGAATTTGGAAAATATATATATATATATTTTTTTTTACACTGACTTGAGCATGAGTGACTTCTGAGTGATTTTATGTAGCCCACCCTTACAAAGAAAACGAGATGGTTATTTTACGTTTCAAAATATTTCTGACTTAATGGTGTTAATGGTTTTTGTTCATTTACTACCAGGTCAGTACTGTGATTGACTGGAGACTATCCAGGGTGTACCTAGCCTCTTGCCCATTGTAAGCCCCCTGCAACCCTAAAGGATAAGCAGGTGTAGCTAATCGATGGATGGATGGAACTTTAAATGCTGTTGGCATTACTGGATTTAATGGAGAGAGAGATTTAAATACATTTTGTCACACTACTAAGCTGCAGTTGTGTTGTTCACCATTAATAATTTGCATTTCACACTCACCAGGCAGAACCAGAGCTGGGTATCAAACTTCAGTATTTTAAAAGGTAGTAAGCGATATGTGTCTGTAGTACACAGTGTCTAAAATGTCAAGTATCAAAACCCTGGTAGTGAATGCCTACCCAGCTGGATTTAAAATACTTCAAATGTATTCAACACATTTTTTAGAGCTCAAGGATACACACATTAGGCTTGGGTGATGTGGTAAATTTTCCACCTGGCCACTGTCAGCCCAACAACCGACGATGTATGTACTGTCCAATCGTCCATCCTAAATTGTCAACTGTCACTAATGCTAGAGGAAATTCAGAATCCAGTTTGTCAATGTTGCTGGTAGTGTGGAGGTGCACATTCATGGTCCCAAGACTGACACACTAATAAGCAAACTTACAAAAGCTGTGAAGACTTAGAGAGCGAAGGCAGAAAAATGTGGGCAGGGCGAAGTTCAGCACTCTCAGGGAGTCAGACCCACACTGCCTGATCTCCAGACAATTAATCTGGCCCCATGGACAAGCCCCTGCTGAGGGACCATCACATGGAGTGAAGGTTTGGCAAAGAAGCTGCGGGTCCACAGTAAAGTTTGCTTTTCCACATTCCTCCTCCTCCACAGACACAGGATCCAGCTTTGAGCGTTTGCATGGAGTGACTTCATCTTGATCTTCTGAAGCCCTGGTCCCATAACCTGGACTCAAACTGGCTCCACCTATTCTGGCTGAAGTGGCTTGTGTAACACAGTCTGCCCTACTTTGCATTAGGTTCTTCAGCTCAGGATTTACATAATGAGAACCCCGCCCATGTAGGAGCCAGGCCAGCCCAATAGGACACTGCACATGTACGATGAGTTCTTTAGCCACCCCGTGATCGAGCAGGCGATGGAGGACATACAAAGCAGTTTGTGTCTTCCTCTTTGATAGATCAATGGACTGCGAAACACCAACACTCCTGATCCGCTTCTCTAAGAGGTTCAGAAGAGGCCGATGCTCAGCAGTTAAACTTTGAAGGGGCTTATGCATGCTTGTAGTGAGTAAAAAATGTTTGATACATTTAGCTGCAGCCCACAGGAAGGATGGGCTGCTTAAATTTGTGATGTTTCTTTTGACGAAGGGGTTTGTGAAGCCGTAGAATACCAGCGTAAAAAGCATTCTCATAACTTCGTGTTTGGCCTCTTCTTCTGTGTTCAAGTCTATTACCTGAGAAGAAACACAGGAGACATTACATCTGGGTTCTAGATGTTTCTATCCATGTGAGGTTTTTTAAAGAAGACAATAAACCTACATGGTTAGGTCCACACATGTCCTGTAGAACTCCAACCCATCCTGAGTGAGTCGATATCCCTGAGAGAAGACAAACAAAAAATGGAAACGTATTTATGAATTCCACTGATTAAAACAAAAAGGAAGTCTGCATGACTAAAAAAATACTTCAACCAGAGTTCTGACCTCTCTGATTTAGGGCAGGCTGTAGCTCATCCAGTTGACATACAGTCAGATGAGGAAGAAGATCCTTAACGAGAGGCGTTGGAAGATCTGCGTTATGACAGATGGGTTAGGACATTCCAACAGTGGACTCAACACTTTCACAACAATTTGAAAAAACTCACTATAGCTACTATGAATGGGTGGTGTGCTCTGGTAACAGGAGGGCAACAACTTTTAGCTTTTAAGTGCATTGAAATGACAAAAATCTGTAAAAAAAAAGCAGACAGTCAAAGGTCTGTGGATGTTGAAATGTGGACTGTGAGCTAAGGGAAGATTACCTCATAGGTGTCATTTACACTGGGGACGCTGGGGACATGTCCCCACCACTTTTTGAAAGCATTTGTTAAAAATGTTCTGAAAAACAGCTTGCACCAAATGTAAATGCTTTTTGCACAGTAAGACAACTTAGCAATTTAAATAGAGGAGAAACAGATCAGACTTAACTTTCTTTTTTAAAATAGTATGGTGGTGGCGCATAGATAAGATGCTTGCCTTTGGTGTAGGAAACCCAGGTTCGATTCCCACTGTGAGACATCCTTTGTTTCCCTGAGCAAGACACTTAACCCCTCGTTGCTCCAGAGGCGTGCAACCTCTGACATGTGAAGCAATTGCAAGTCACTTTGGATAAAGACGTCAGCTAAATTGATAAAGTGTTTCATCACACCCCTAATTTGAGCCCTTAAATATGCCCACCACTTTTGAAAACAAAGTGACGCCCTTGGATTACCGTACTCATTTTTCAATCACTCACAACTCAAAAACTCACAACTTTGAGATTTTAGGGGTAGAGTTCCATGTAGCTAGCTCCAGATGGGTGACAAATGACAGGAAATACTAACATGAAGTGTGTCAGTATGGAGAGGCCACCAGCAGGCTCCAGAACAGCTTCAGGGTCGTGCCAAGTCTGTGCTGGAGGGACCAGCGTCCCTCCTCATGAGAATCCCTCATTTATTTACACACCACCTTTATTCAATCAGGTAATTAAACCACAGACACGGTTGGACATATCAAGAGGACATATAGCATCAGAAACGTCACTAAATAGATTTGAAGATGAAACTTTCTAATTTATTATTTGGTCTTATGGTGGTGGAGAGCACTGTCCATAGGTGTGACGAGATCTGGAGCGTGTTCAGCGCTGACAAAACGTAGCAAAACGGGGGGTTTTTAACCGAAAGGTTGGTGCCTGAACCACTAGGTGCGTTTGACTTCATGCAAAACGTCATCATGTCACATGACATTAAAACCTCGCAGGAGCAAGGAGGCTGCAGGCGCCAAGTGACATGATGACGTTTTTTTGGGAGGTGGAAGTGAACGGAGGTCGGAATTGTGTTTGAGCGTGCTACTGAGAACGAGCGTTGGTATTTGGCGAATTTGTGCAGCGGAACTGTGCCGCGAATGTAATTCTCATGGGTAAAAGTACGGATGGAGATAGTGATAGTATGCCGTGGCAGGATGTAAATAATAAGAGGAAAGGAAGGTGCGATAGTTCTGGAAGTTCAACCTATGACGTGGAGGTGGTGACATTTCCGCTGCACAAATCTGTCCAACACAACGCTGTCAATGTCGGATACCCAGCTTAAAAAAAGTTATTAGCCAGCATGCAAGGGGCCTAGCAAAGAAGGAGAGCTAAGCTCCGCCCGCCACAGTTACACTGTCATCTGTGGGAAACACTGAAGAGAGTTTATCCCAGCACCAATTAGATGTTTCAAGTGTCAAAGAATGGGACACACTGCTGGACAATGTAAAGGAAAACAAAGATGTGCTAGGTGTGGAGGTGAACATGAATATGGAAAATCTGGCCAGGATACAAAAGTGAAATGTTGTAATTGCGGCGGTGAGCATAGCGGTGCTTTTGGAGGATGCCCTGTTCAAAGGCAAGCTAGAGAGGTACATATATATAAAGTAACTAATCAGGTATCTTATGCTGATGCAGCAAAAAAAAAGTGAAGGAAAGTGAACTATTCAGATCCAGTGTTACACAAGTAGTAAATAGAGCCCAAGAGTCTGAGAACAGACGAGTAATTGAGGTTTCATCTCCAACACCAAGTCAGAGGCAAACAGAAACAAATCCAAGGATATTAATGAAGACACTGATTGTGGGTAAAACCAACTTTGTTGCTTTCATCTGTAAGACTGTAAATGTGGCAATACAGCAGAAGAAAAAGTGATAGAATCAAGACAATTGTAGAGGCAGCCATAGAGATACTGGGGATCATGGAAGTTACAGCTGAACTGATTCATGAGATGTTGAACCCGACTAATGGAGTGTCTCAAGGCGATTAGCCTCATTATGGTATTTCATATCCTCCACTGGAATGCCAGAAGTTTAATTGCAAATGGACAAGAGTTCAAGAAGGTTGTAACTGATCTGGAAGATGTTATGATGTACCTGATGTTATGTGTATACAAGAAACTTGGTTCAGACCACATTTGGAGGCTACAACTCGGTTAGATGTGACAGAATTGGAAAACAAGGTGGAGGATGTGTAACATTTATTAAAGATACTTTAGCATATAGAAGGGTAACCGTTCCAAATGAGTATGGATGTGTAGTAGTAGAAATGTGTAGTCCCAGAGGAAATATCAAAGTAGTCAATTTTTATAATCCGTGCAAGAAATTATCAATGCAAACATTCCATGAGATCTCAGAAAGTGTAGATAGAGAAATATGGTGTGGAGACTTTAATGCTCACAATACTCTGTGGAGAAGTGACCATACAGGCACTAATGGAGAAGTAGTTGAAGAACTAATCGAGGAGAGATCACTTTCTTGGCTTAATGATGGAAGAGGTACCAGGGTTAATGTTACAAGAAATTCAGTTTCTTGTATAGATCTTACTTTAGTCTCAGTAAATATGAGTAATTTATGTGAATGGAATGTAAAGAATGATACCAACATAGGGAGTGATAACTTTCCAATATTGTGTTCCATGAACTTTGATATGTATGTTCAGGAAGGTCATGTAATAGAGAGATGGTGTTTTCATAAAGCTAACTGGGAAAAAAATAAGAGAACTTTGTACTGAATATTCTGAAAGAATATCAATGGAGGGTGATGTAAATAGCTGCGCAGCAGCATTGACTTCCATGATTACTAGTGCTGCAACAACCTGCATCCTTAAGAGCACAGTGAATGAGAAAAAGAAAATAGTTCCATGGTGGAACGATGAATGTAAAAATGCTATAAAAGACAGAAATCATGCATTCAGAATTTTAAGAAAGCATTTGAGCCAAGACAATCTGATTGACTATGAAAGAAAGAGGGCTATGGCACGGAAAATAATTAAGTCATCCAAGAAGAATGCATGGAGGCAATTCTGCTCCATTGGTAGAGAAGTTAAATTGGGTGACATTTGAGCAATGATCAAAAAGATGAGTGGGAAAGAAAATCAGTTAAAATCCCAGTGCTGATAGATGGAGAACACCTGGCAATTACAAATAAGGAGAAAGCTGAGCTACTAGGTAAGAAGTTTGCAAGTGTACATAGTGGGAGTCATTTAGATGAAATACATAACCAACGGAAAAAGGATATTTTAAGAACATATAGTGATGTAACTTAGAAAAAAGATAGTGATGAATCGGCAATTGACATGGACTTTTCATTACGAGAGTTAAAAATGGTCCTAGATGGAAGTGGATATACAGCTCCAGGACAAGATCAACTATGCTATGCTATGTTTAGACAATTACCAAAAGAAGTCTTGGAAATGATGCTAAAACTGTTCAATAAGATATGGAGAGAAGGTGTAATGCCTGATAGTTGGAAAAGTGCTCTGATAGTACCTTTTGGTAAACCTGGTAAAGACACAATTAATGCAGGAAACTACAGACCTATAGCCTTAACATCGCACTTGTGTAAATGGATGGAAAAGATAATTGTCTGTAGATTGTCATATTATTTAGAGCAAAGAGGACTGCTAAACAAATACCAAAGTGGACTTCGTAAAGGAAGATCTACGGTAGACGCTTTAGTTAAAGTTAGCAATGAGGCAGAAAAGGCAGTTAGTATGAAAGAGGTCATGGCTATAGTATATTTTGATATTGAGAAAGCTTATGATTCAATGTGGAGAGAAGGACTACTGATAAAAATGCATGAAATGGGTATTGGCGGAAGACTATACAACTGGGTTTTAGACTTCCTGTCTAACTGAACTTTCGTTGTTAAAGTTGGAGATGCTGTGTTGGAGGATTTTGAAATTGAAAATGGTATTCCTCAAGGGAGCGCTATAAGCCCTGTTCTGTTTAACATCATGATAAATGACATTTTTGTAAATGTTGGTAGAGATATTGGATCATCACTTTATGCAGATGATGGGGCTATATGGAAAAGAGGGAAAAACATTAGGCATGTGACTAATAGCATACAGAGTGCTATATTAAAAGTTGAAAGATGGTCATATGATTGGGGATTTAAGATGTCAGTCGTAAAGTCATGCTATATGTTCTTTACCAGAAAGAGAAATATTAATAACACAAAGCTTAAATTGTATGGACAAAATATGGAAAGAGTTCAAGTATGTAGGATTGTGGTTTGATGAGAAATGTGTATGGAGGAATCATGTTAAACAGGTTGAAACAAAATGTAAAAAAGGTACTGAATCTCATGAGGTCAGTTTCTGGTTACCAATGGGGAGCAGATAAACAATCACTACTAGATATTTACAGGGCTTTAATACGATCGTCTATTGATTATGATTGTATGGTATGTGGAGCAGCAGCCAAGAGTATTTTAGAAAAACAGAATACAGTTCAGAGCTCTAAGACTCAGCATAGGTGCAGTGAAAACAACCCCTACTAATGCACTGCTGGTAGAAGCTGATGAATTGCCATTATATTTGAGATGTTCTAAGTTGTCTTTAGCATATTGGGTCAAGTTAAAAGGATCTGGAGAGGAACAACCTGCAACAAAGGTTCTGTGTGACTGTTGGGAATATACACAACAACTGAAAGGTAAAGGATTTGGCTGGAATATTAATGCAGTAGCAGAAGAATACGGATTAAATAACATAGAATACGGACCAATTACTGTATGGGATAATGTTCCTCCGTGGATATTTCCTATGCCCAATGTGGACCTGAAGCTTCTAGAGAAGAAGAAAGAATGGAGTGAAAGTAATGTGGATAATATTGGATATTTGGTTCAAGATTATGTGAAGAGGAATTATTATAATTATATGCTATTATCTACTGACGGATCAAAAGATCCAGGGACTGAGCACGTAGGATCAGGAGCATACACACCTGAGTTTGATGTAGTTATATGTAAAAGAATTAATGATAAATTACCTGTATATCCAGCAGACATGGTTGCTATTATTTTAGGGTTACAATGGATAGAAGAGGTGAGGCCTGAGAGAGTTGTCATTTGTTCAGACTCCACTGCAGCCCTGTATAGTTTAAATTCCAAAAAGACAGTAAGAGATTATCTATTGATTGATATATGTACAATAATGCTAAGAATACAAAAAGCTGGAGTTGATGTGCAATTTGTCTGGGTCCCTGCTCATGTTGGTGTTGATGGGAATGAGAAAGCAGATGAGACTGCAAAGACGGCGTTGAAATTAAAAGATGATGAAATAATGCAAGTTCCCTTTGGAAAAGCAGAGGCCAAATCATTAATTAGAACAGCAGTGAGTGACGTATGGCAGAAGAAGTGGGACACAGACACTAAAGGGAGACACTATTACAGCATACAGAAATCAATTAAGGTGAAGGGTTTCAAAGGGAAATGTAGTAAAGTGGCTTTTTCAACATTAAGGCTTGGACATACTGGGTTAAAATCAACGCTTTATTTAATGGCAAAATGTGTGTCTGATAAATGTGAGGTTTGTAAAGTTCCTGAATATGTTGAGTATGTCATCATGAAGTGTAGTAAATATAATTCTGAGAGAAAGATCTTACGTGAAGATATATTGAATTTAGAAGGAATTTTAGGGATGAGTGAGGAAACAAGGGAGTGCTGCAAACCTCTCTTTAATTTTCTCAAATCTACAGGATTAGATCATAACGGCCTTTTTGTTTGTTTGATTTAATTTTGTTTTGTTTTCAGTTTATTTACCTTTTGTTTCACTGAACCTGTCACCTGAAGTACTAAAACCTTGATATTACACACTCCGGTACAGTAGGTGGCGGTATGCACCTGAACAAGTTGGTTGCGATCCGCCATAAAACCCAGAGAAGAAGAAGAAGAAGCTACATGCTACTCGCCTGAACACCTTGTTGTTTACGCAAGCGCACTGCATTTCCCTGCCTTTATAACACCGTTGTGTTTACAAACTTATCGCAGCTGATTGGCACTTGTGACACTTGTAACTCTTGTGACACGGCCACCACACGGGAGAAAACAGACCTCCAAGCCGGTTGCGGAACGTTGCAAGGGAACGTGGTTCAATCAGAAAACGTTTTGAGATTGAACTCGCCCCAGGTGACGGCAAAGGCCGTAACCACTTTTTTGACAACATGTTCACACTCTCCAACCCGTTCAGTGAGCCCTGGTGCACGGCAGCATCTGTACTTGATGGTTTTATCCACTGTTCTAATCTTATTCGGGGTTTTCCTTTCATTCGTCCCTCGTCTAACGTCTCCCCTTTCAACACATGCAGCGTTAACGTTAGGTAGCGTTACTTAGTCAATATTTGGCGCGACTCCTTGTTCTGTGTGTTAGCTAGCTATTCGTGTTCTTCCAGGCTAAGTAACGTTACAGGAACATTTAAGCGTAAATATCCCCCACTTACCAAGAACAGCCTCAATGCCCAGGACAGCAAAATGTTTCCGGACAGCTTTGAAACATGTCTCCTTCAGACACATCTCCTGTCGGTTTCTTGTGTCTGCTCTCCGGGCAGTGTTGGCCATTGTTTAATAATTCTGTGTATCGTTGCTAATAACGATGCTAAAAGTGCCCAGCTGACAGGACACTGGTTCCTCCCGCGTCCCCGTCTCTCCTTTCCCTTAATGTTGTGGTTTTATGGAGGCTTGCACACAATGCTATAGTAGTTCGTTGGTTTTGATGTCGGACTACAAACCAGTACGAAAGCTACATGGCGCCACCTCCTGTACCGCAGCATTAACGACTCTAAATATTTTCTTTCTTACCTTACTAATAGCTCAGGCACACTTTTCATTGATGATGTAAATAAAGATGTAATTATTCAGTGATAAGTGAATTTGTCCTAGTTTAATGCTCTTTTAGCCCATTAATCAGCAGCCTTGTTTCCTTCTATCCTACAGAGATGTATTCACAGTTGCCACAGGCTAATAATAATAATTTAACAGCTTTATTTGTAGGCTATAGTAGCCTACTTTTAAATACAGGTAATAAAGTGCTTTACCTCAATCAATGTAACAGACAAGTTGAATAAAAATCAGTAACGTTAGCCTATATCACAGATGTGGTGTGAAACAAATAAAACATAATGTACAATTAAAGAACAAATAAATGAAGAATCACATAGGTAACTTAGTGGTTTGAATTGAATTAATAAAACATAAACAGAAATTGCCTACAAATAAAATTTTAAATAAATGAAGCATCACATATGTCAAACACAAACACAAGTCAGTTTACAAATAATGGAGCTATTTTATATAAATTAGTTTTAAGGCAAGGCAAGGTAAGATTATTTGTATAGCACAATTTAACAACAAGGTCATTCAAAGTGCTTTACATAAAACAAAAGCAACAGGGAACTATGTAAAAGTTTAAAAGCAACATAAAATAAATAAAAGTTACAGTGTTACAATCAGGGTTAAAAGAGTTAAATGGAAAATAATACAAAGCTAAAAACAAAGAAAAAGAAAACAGGACAGTAAAAGTTACAGTGTAAGTTATCAATAAAAAGAAAAATCTTAAATATTTAATTAAACGTTTCAGCAGACCTGCAGTTATCTGGGAGTTTGTTCCAAATATACGGAGCATAATAACTCAACGCTGCTTCTCCTTGTTTAGTTTTGACTCTGGGGACAGAAAGCAAACCTGCCCCAGACGACCTGAGAGGTCTGGATGGTTCGTAACAAAGCAGAAGATCGAAATGTATTTTGGCCCTAAACCATTTAGTGCTTTATAAACTAACAGCAGGATTTTGAAATCAATGCTTTGACATACAGGAAGCCAATGTAAAGACCTCAGAACTGGAGTGATGTGACCACCTTTTTGGTCTTAGTGAGGACTCAGCAGCAGCGTTCTGAATCAGATGCAGCTGTCTGATGGATTTCTTAGGGAGCCTGTAAGGACACGTTACAGTAGTCGTCGACTGAAGATAAATGCATGGATAAGCTTTTCCAGGTCCTGCTGAGACATAAGTCCTTTAATCCTTGATATATTCTTCAGGTGATAGTAGGCTGACTTTGTAATTGTGTTAATATGGCTCAAATTCAGGTCCATGACTACACCAAATTTCTGGCTTGATTTGTGGTTCTTAACATTACAGATTGAAGTCGAGCACTGACTTTCAATCGTTCCTCCCTGGCTCTTCAGTTTTATCCTTTTATCCTTTAATTGAAGAAAATTCTGGCACATCCAATCGTTGACCTGCTCAATACAGTTACTCAGCGCCTGTATGGGATCATAGTCCCCTGGTGAAATGGTTATGTAAATCTGCGTGTCATCAATTATGGTAACATATTTTGTTGTTTTTCATAATCTGAGCCAGTGGAAGCATGTAAATGTTAAACAAAAGAGGCTCCAGAATGGAACATGTCATTTTTGTCAGCTCAGATGTGTGATTACCTATAGACACAAAGTAGTCCCTGTCCTTTAAGTAGGATTCAAACCAGTTTAGTACTGTGCCAGAAAGTCCAACCCAGTTTTCAAGTCTGTCTAGTAATATGTTGTGGTCGACCATGTCGAATGCAGCACTGAGATCCAATAATACTAAGACTGAAATTCTGCCACTGTCAGTGTTTAAATGGATGTCATTGAAGACCTTAACAAGAGCTGTCTCAGTGCTGTGGTGTGGTCAAAAACCTGACTGGAAGACATGAAAACAGTTATTTAGTGCCAAGAAAGCACTAAGCTGTTGAAAAACAGCCATTTCAAAGATTTTACTTAGAAATGGGAGATTTGATATTGGCCTATAATTGCTCATTAGTGAACTGTCTAGATTGCTCTTTTTAAGAGTGGCATAATGACTGCAGTTTTTAGGGCCTGTGGGAAAAAACCTGAGAGGAGAGACATGTTGACAATTTGTAATAGATCTGAGGCCATGCAGTTAGAAACATTTTTGAAAAACTGTTGGCAGAATATCAAGGCAGCATGAGGAGGATTTCAGATGTTGTATTATGTCCTCCAGGTTTTTATGGTTAATAGAATCAAATTGTCTCATGCTATATGAATTGTTTTAAGTGGACACAGGGACAAGACATATCCTGTTACTGACATGGAGGCACTGATTGCTTGTCTAATTGTTTGACTTTTGTTTGTGAAGGAGGAGGCAAATTCATTGCAGGCCTTGGTGGATAGAAGGTCAGAGGCTACAGACACAGGAGGGTTGGTTAGCCTGTCGACAGTAGAAAACAGGGCACGTGCATTATTAGTGTTTTGGTGATGATGTCAGAGAAGAAGAACGCTTTGCATTTCTCAGCTCTAAATTATAAATGCGAAGTCTCTCTTTATAGATGTCATAATGAACCTGGAGGTTTGTTTTCCTCCACCTGCGTTCAGCTTTTCGACACTCTCTTTTTTGAGTTCTAACCAGCGTGGCATTTCTCCATGGAGATCTTCTCTTACCAGAGACCACCTTCACCTTGGCTGGTGCAATGGCATCAATAACATTTGTAATTTTAGAACTGAAATTATCTATAAGCTCATTGACTGAGACCCGTGAGAGGGCGGGTGTCGAGGAGAAAGCCTCAATAAATTTTTCACTAGTGTTTTCAGTGATATGCGTTAGTGATCACCTCTGTTTTAACATTTGTGTGCACGCAGATAGCACTCTCAAAGAAAACACAGGAATGATCAGAGAGAGCAACATCAGTCACCAGACCCTTGGAGATGACCAAGTCCAAAGTGTGCCCCTTATTGTGCATGGGCCTCGTCACATGGTGGGTCAGTCCATAATTATCAAGAACACAAAACAGTTCTTTAGTCCCTCTTTCCTGGGGGTTGTCAACAGGTATGTTAAAATCACCAACAATAACCACACAGTCAAAGTCAATACAGATTATAGACAGCAGTTCACCAAAGTCATCAAAAAAGTTTGCACAGTATTTAGGGAGCCTGTAGATATTTAGAAAAATAGCTCGAGAAGAGGAATTCAGCTGAAGAGCCACATATTCAAAAGAAGCAAAATTCCCATAAGACATCTTTTTGCATTGGAGGGAGTCATTAAACAAAATGGCAATCCACCTCCTCTCTTATGCACTCTAGCTTCACTCATAAAACTGAGCTGGGAGGGGTAGACTCGATAAGAACAGCTGCACTGTTATCTTGGTCCAACCAAGTTTCAGTTAAAAACATGAAATTAAGATTGTGAGTTATTATAAAATCATTGATTAAAAATGTTTTTCCTGCCAAAGACCTAACGTTTAACAAAGCTAATTTTAGTGTTGTAGTGGGACAACCGTGTGGAATTGTGCATTTTATATTGTTGTTGATATTAGTGCTGAAAAGAATCTAAATAAGTTACTTTTGCAGTGTTTGTTTTTTTCAGCAAGATTAAGGACACTCCGTCATCTTATGTGTAACCAATACTTGTTCACAATACTTTCTCACACAATTCCTTTAGAAATGATGATAAAGAAATGTCATACTATACTCTTAATCACCAGCTTGAATCTAAGGCTGAATAACTAAATTCCCCAGTTCCTAAGGAGAGATGATCTTGGATTAATCTAAGCTTTCCTCATGTAACCTGAGCTCCCCCAAGTGGACAAAATATGTATTACATACCATCGTCGGAAATGCCGTTAATGTATAATATCCTGACCAATAATGTGACTATTGTTTCCTGTTACCAAATGCTTAACTTAGAACGGTACAATTGTTTGACCACTGAGGTTTGATTGTGGAAAATATTTGATTATAATACACGCAAATAGATTTCTTTTCTTTTAGACATTAAAGTTTAGAAAGGTATCCGGCGTGCCTCTCCAGGCAACGCCCTAAGAGTTCGACCAGCGAAACAGGCCTTTGTTCGCTTGAAGCTACACACGCAAAGTGCCACGACATCGATTTGCCCCTCAGTTCCAGCAACTGTATTTGTTTTATTTTCTTTCTTTCTTTTGTTTTGTTAAAGTTATCAGTCCGTTAACTTACACTGGACTAATTCAGGAACGACCAAGTTCCCTTTTAAGCTTGTTTGTCGAGCCAACTTCAATGAGGTCAGACCAAGCCACGTGGTCTCGCCAGCGGCAATGAAGGAAACCTGAAAACAGCCGAATTGCCAGACACGGAGAACCCCGGAGAATCCCTAGCAAAAAGCCAGGATCGGCAGCTAGCGTGGGCCCCGTGCAACAGGCCAAAGCAGGCCGCCGACAAGCAGTAAGACCTAACAAACATTCTGTGGTCAGGGATGTCCCATAGTGTTAATATTTCCTTTTTAACTCCTAAACTCATAGGTTAGCATTAGTTCTCCTCTGCTGTATGAGTCAAATGCTTCCCACAATCAAACCTCCATTTCTCATTGTTCAGCCATTGTTTATTTTCCCTGTATTTAACCACCCTTCTATATCGCATTAGTTAGTTAATAAATTCACTGTAATCAGGAACTGTGTGTGTGTTGACTATTTCCACGTCCCTGCCAAGAGAATTGACCCTTTAGATATGAGACTGACTGATTGATTTAAGATAATTTAGCGATTATTAGCTAACTGATCACTAGTAATAATTGTATAATTATTAACAGCTACCTAGAGGTCCGGAGACTCTAGGATTATAACAACTCCGGTGGTGCCTCGAAACGAGAGATTGATATTTTCTGAATATTAAAATTCATAATTGGGTATTAATTCTCATAAATTTATTAAAATTCATAGCAAATTTTTAGCCATGCTACAG